GCCCTCTATAATGTTGTATATCAAAGCTAAAACATAGCAGTTAACCTTTGACACAATCATATATGCCCTTATAATAGCATATTGTTTATATATTCTGACTCAGGATAGCCGGAGGCTTTTCAAACGCCCACGAACTAGACGGCCGCCATCACTACCACCACCAACCCCAGCTGGTGAAGACATGGTAAGCTATATTTCAGGTTGTTCTCACTGCTAGTGTATTTCTCCCTCTCCAGCCTACAGAAAGTGAGTTAACTATTCTGAGAATTATAAGGTTTGTAGGTGTACAGAAATGTATACACGTGTGTTACTCTGAAAAGTTACGATGTAAACAATAGTAGTCTACATTGCCATCACCCCACACATTGAATGAGAAAATGGCACACTATGATGAAGGCTAGCAGAACGTGTACCAGTGTGGTATTACCACTCAATCTATCTAGTATAATTCAGATTTGTGCCAAGTTCTTAAGTGTCTGATCGTTAACGTAAATGTAAGGTCTACGCCTATGGATATTTAGCATTAGCTTCGGCCCCCGCTTGGAATAAATACAAGAAGGTATAGGTATACAGTATATAAAGCTTAAAATCAGAAAGAGTTATTTACAGAATTCATTTTATGACACATGGGACCTCATTAACTTACACCTGTTAAAGGTGTGGTTTACAATTCCTTATAGAGTATTTAAATAACACAATTACTAAAACAATAGGTCCAATGGGCCTGTATCGCTCACCTGGATAATTAAGCAACAATGGAAAAGTATTCTTGTTACAAATATTACTGCAACTATTTCCAAATATTGGCTCTGTCTCTCAGAAACACCCTGCCCCCTAAAAGCAACCCTTTATTTATAAAAAAAATTGAGGGACCACACTCTATTTATACATATGGAGCCCCCGTTACCAAATGACGCTCCGTACCAAATTTGGTTAAAACAACTCCCATCATACTGAAGGAGAAGGATTATAAAGATTAACTTCAATTTACCCTATTGGACCCTTCCCCCTAGCCTCACCCTCTGTTCATACAACATCGACTTTCTTTTGCCAAAGAATGCTCTGGACCAAATTTGATTAATAAATTGGCAAAAGACAAAATAAAATGATTATCAAATGTTTATTAGTTTTACTATTAATATTAGTAAATGTTTTTATATGTCTGCATATCTTTGTCTATTGCACAATCTCAATCTATAAGTAGTCTCCAGAGGAACGACTATTCTTTCAGAGTCCAGACTTATGAGTTATTAGTTTATTACTGCTGAAAATAACTTTAAAACACGTAATTTATGATAAAATGTTTTGGTATAATACAAAAACAGAAAATGCACATTTGTATCAGTATTTACCTTTATAAACATCGATAATCAAATCTTCATGATTATGTGAAATTGTGCATTGATTATTTTTGGCATACTGAAAAATTACGTTACCGGTTTTTGATATTACACAAAAAATATTCTGTAAACAGAAGAAGTATAAAATATGGACTACCATTGTAACTCTATATATTCGCGAATTGACAATATTGGATATATTTAAAATTTTATGAAAATTTTGCATAAGTTTCTTTTAAAAAAAAGTATCGCTACGCTTACTTCATGCATATTCATATGACATATTTGGTATCAAAATAACAGTAATTTTAATCACTTTACACATAATTATCATAATTCATTTTTAAAGTTATATTGTCCTGTGACATTTATCTGTCATTTTGTTAGGATAGTCACTCAACCTGGTGATATGCAAGGAGGTCCACTACGGTTATCACTAGTAATAATGAATAACCATATATGCAGTTATTGTTCATTTTAATGTATCCACATATAGCAAATCAATTAAAGAAATTTAAGTCAGGGGGTGGAGGGACGAATGTTGACTTCACCTTGTCAAAATGCTGGTTTTGATAAAACGTTTAACGTATACAAATAGTACCAGGCACGTAGTTGCCATGAAAGCAAATTGCATGCACGTTAAAATCATCAAATGCCTTGAATTATTTAATGTGTATGCAGGTGTGACATTTGAAATTGTGATTAACTGATTGTGCGTGTGTGTTCGAATAAAAATGAATATTTTTAAAAGCATTAGCATTGTACATGTATGTGTAAATAATTAATATAAAATGGGGCTTAAATAAAAAACGTTAAAGTACGTTAGACAACGCAAAGAGGGTAAGGTGGGTTAAAAGACACCAGAGTCTATAAGATAGACAAATGTCTTTTAACAAGTTGAACAATTCCTTCGAGTCCACGGAACTGAAAAGAGTTTTCATATCTGGGACCCGTAAGTAATTCTCACGAATGTGTCTGAAGTTAGAACAATCTATTAAAAAAATGTTCCGCTATAAATAGAGGGTCACATGCGTGGCATTTAGGTGGATTTTCTCGTTTTAAAAGATACGAATGAGTAGGATATAAGAGTGCCCAGTGCGGAGCCGAGAGAAGACAACTTCCTCTCTGCGATCGTTCCGACTGGGAACGCATGTTCTAAGTTTCGGTTGTACTTTAAAAAGTTTGTTGCTTGTCTCGAGAGACCAGTGTTGGTTCCATTAGGTTTAAATCCTGTATATGTTTGTGGATATTTAACTCATTTTTTGCTTCTCTGTCAACAGATTCGTTACCTTTGATTCCTACATGGCTCGGAATCCATAGTAAAGTAATTTAACATTTCTTTAAGATACGATATATACGAAAAGTGAGGTTTTGTTAGAGGGTGTTTTTAGGATCTCGTAACTGTAGGACAGAAGGAGAGTCTGAACAAATGATTGCCTTTTTAATGCAGTGTTCATCGATATGGTCGATGACCAAATCGATGGTGCATGCCTCGACAAAAAAGAAAGGGACGCCGTCTGGTAGTCGAACTGAATTGCAAGAGTTAGCATAACAGCAGGCTGCCACAACTGTTTGACCTTCTTTGGAATCATCGGTGTAAAGTTGTGAATGAGCTTCAAAATGTATTCCCGAAAGGAGGTTTGTGTTCTTCGAGCATTACTTTGGAAGTCTCCCGCTCATTGATCAATGGAGGAACATCGGATATGTTGTATTCAGCTATGTTAGTCAACTTTATGTTGAGCCCCGGCAGGGAATTTGAAATTCGGATGCCAATTGTTGGCAGGAGTTTTTGGTTGTGCGTAAACATGTTTTGGTATTTTGAGTTGTATACTTGGTCAAAAGCAGGATATTTGTGGGTATGATTTTAGTTGAGCTGCAAACTGTAATGCCGGTTTTTTCCTTCGGTCATACAGGGATGGTTCATTCTCTTCCACGTAAAAACTCCATATATATTTCATATTTTAGGTGCCAAAAACAGCTTAATTGTACTTGGTTAAAGACTTAGGGCAAGCTTGAGGTTAAAATTTTTGTGCATGTTTTTTGTGAAGTGTTGGAGAATCACCATCAATAGGCTGTTACATATTATAATGTTAAAGTATTTATAGGCAGTGTAGGCAATGTGCTGAACCATATTTTCATATTATAGAGGCCAAAACAGCTTAATTGGACTTGGTTAATTTGTTTTGGGGCAAGTGTTTTTGTGTAGTGTTGGATCACCATCATCAATAGACTGTTGCCTATTAATGAGGTTTTATATGGAGTGTAAGAAATGATCTAAATTATATTGTCATTATTTTAGGGGCCAAAACTGGTTAGATGGACAAATTTTTTATGTAGTGTTGGATTGGTCACCACCATCTATTTGCTGTTGACTATTTCACGTTGTCTGGTCATCTCTTCTTACATGTAAAGGTACAGAAATATCTTGTTATATTACCATCATTTGTTTAAAGAAATGTTGGCAGTATACAGAGTTTGGTGATAAACTGAAGGAGAGGTATAAGGAGTTCATAAGAAAATCATAATTAAGGGACCTGAAAATATGTTGGCGGTAAGTGAGATGGCAAATGAAATGACGGGCATTATATCGTGGTTTTACTGTACATTTGTTTCTATTGATATTTGCTGTTTTACAACATAAATCACCAATAGGCGATCTATGCAGTTCTCTGACAGCTCTTGTCTGTTTAGCCGTTTCATACAAAATAGACGAACACGGACTTTGAAGTATCGATATGATAGGTAAAAAGATATGACATTGAAGAGGTGATATTTTATTATGCCAAAGTGCCATGTAGTATCATAGGCCTTCTCAAGATTAAAAAAACCCAGCAACAAGGTGTTCCTTCTTGGCGAAAGCCTCTTGTATCAATGTCTCGAGTCTAATGAAATTGTCTTTGTCCCTGTTCTGTTTCTATAACCACTTTGAAGAGAAGATATTATATAGTTGTCCTCAAGAAACCAAACAAGTTTTGTGGTAATCATCCGTTCTGATATACATTCTTTCGCATTTGTTGATGATGATGATGCCGATGATGATGATGTTTGTATGATGATGACAATGCTAGTGACTGTCATTGTGCATAGATGATGATGATGATGATGATGTTTGGATGATGATGATGATGATGATGATGATGATGATGATATTTGGATGATGATGATGTTTGTATGATGATGACGATGATGATGATAATGCTGGTGCTTGTCATAGTGAATAGATGATGATCCATTAGAATGCATGATCGCTAATCGTTAAGCTAACCATGCAATTTCCTGTTGAAATGTCTGAAATTCAATCGTTTGAATATTAACAAGAACGTTTTGCGCTCCCTTGCCAATCTCTCTTTACCATGGCTACATGAATAATATTATAAACATTTAAGTATTTGCTTTCCTACTTCGTATTTGTAGTGGCTGTTTGGTTAACTGGGTCCTGGACTCAGTTTTTATTAGTTCAAGGTAATCCCCCCCCCCCTCCTCCCCCCATTGGTGAAACTGGCTGCGGAAAATATCATTGTTATAGAAAAACGTGAAATTCGATCAAATGGGTGTTTGTGTATACGCAAAGCCTTGAATATCACTACCAAAGCATAGCATTTCCTTAAGTATCCATGCAGTTCATATAATCGCGAAAAAAAATGAGAAAATGTTTCAAATATCCACAATAATGACGTATAGGTGCATTTCTGTCGGATATATGATCGCTTATCATTAAGCTAGCCTACAGTACAAGCGCACGAGTCGAGCTAATACACATGCGCAATTGTGAGGCTCATATTTCGTATGTATACATGTAGTCAACAGGTCAAACATACGTCTTATGCTTCAGTCAACATTATTGGTTTTCTGTTGACTGCCATATATTCAACTATAATGTACCATGATTTTGGATATACTAATGAGATGAGCACTTCAGAAACAAAGGTACATTTTACATGTATGGGGTTAATTTTTTGTTGTTGTTGTAATATTCAAGGCTGTGTGCGCGTAATTCTAACATTGAACAGCTGTAGTGTAGCAAGTCACACGTGTATCGAAGTACTGCTGTACACGCATTTCGCATGCTATTGAATTGTCGAACATGTCTTTGCTTTATATTTTCATTGCTAAATAGATACGGAATTATTTATGCACGTATGAGGAAAAAGGAAAACATCATGTCATTGTAGACAAAAAAAAACTATTTTCTCAGCGAACAGATTCACAAATGTATTCCATTGCTAAGTAAGATAAATGGTCATTTATATATTTATGACTAATATTTTCATTTTTGTGTGAGAGAGAGAGCGATCAGTTTGTATTCAGGTACTTTTTGAGAAATCAAAGTAAATTTGAAATATATATAACACATTTGCACAAGGCGTAATTCAATGTAATCCAAATCATGTAAGGAATATTTTACGATTTGTTAAGTTATTAAATTCCAAAATTCATAAATATTATATTGATACGTATAAAACTTGTTAGCCTGCTAGAGCTATCCATGGACGAACTTTTTATGTTTTGTCCAGATTGAATACAACATAGGTTGTTGTATACATTATATACACACATAGTTTTACCTGTGCATTAACTGAAAAAGGCTCGGTGGTAACACTGTTGACAGTGATATATCACAATACACTGTCTTCATTCAGCTATGGTTGATACATGTACATCTCTACAAACATTCAAGCCCTGTGCATTCTTGTGCTGAAGTGATGGAGTGCTCGGTCGCTAGGACTCGTTCGAATAGATTCAAAATTCAAGATTGTACAAAATGTCAAAGAAGCTCTCTTCTTTGTTCCCGTTATCGACGATGCGTTCTGACTGTTCTTATTTGTTAAATGCTGTGATATTTATATATTTTTGTTTTGATTTACCACAGGACATTATGGTATTTATACCAATTGAAAAAAAAACATTCGGAAGAGAAAAAATTGTATTTGAAAAGAAATTTAATAAGAGAAATCTTTTATCAGTGAAAGCCATGGTTGTCATATGCAGATAAACATATTTTTATACATAGATCCTGATCAACTAAAAGGCACTCCATTCGCAATTATACTTCGGCCAAGTATGTCTGTATCGGTAGTGATCATTGCCTTACCAGTCTTGGTAGGAATTGGTAAGTATGAATTTATTACTTGTTTCAATGCTTAATCAGGTTGTGCTATTGTAATTGTTTCATGTAATATACTATCCGATTTAACAAAATACCAATATTTATTTATTACATTTGCTTTTCATGAAAAATGATGAAATCATAATAAATCCTCAAATTGTTATACGTAAAATAACCACTGTCATATACGGTTTTATATAATGATGTTAAAATAAACTTTATAATTTTACAAAATGTAACAAATAACCTACCTTTTCGTGTGTGCAATATTTAACGGATTTACACTTTAAGTACACCACGGAAATCCTTTTTCGCGGTTTTGTGGCGAAATGATAAAATATTTTCATAGAATCCATTCGTCGTAGAAATATTTAGCTACAAAAAGTTAGCAATGCGGACGGCTAAGAGAGGTGTCACAACGATTTTTAAATGGAAAATATATTACACCAATTATCTTGAACCGTATACGGTCCTGAGTGGAGACATCTTGATCAGGAAATCAAATGCTTATTATATTCAAATTAATGGATCAAGTACAAACTTGTGGCAATGCATATGGTCAAGAGAAGTGTTGGTTGGTCGTAAAGGATTTAACGTCCTATCAACAGCTAGGGTAATATTTAGGGATGTTCAAATGAAGGGTAAATGTAATTTAGAAATAGAAAATCAAAAGTAATAGCAGGCACTCCGGCCGATCGCGAAAAGCGTTTCGTGATATCTATTCTATAAGCAATGCACTCATTTTAGTGAAAACTATTTTTTTCCCTTGTCGTTATGTTAGTTACCTATCATTAGTAACCTTAAGTAACCATATCATAAGAGGTCCAAAGTGACCTGTATATCCATTTTTAGTTGACGCTTGAATGTCATGCAGTAAAACTATTAAAAGAAAAAATGAGGTGGCCTGTTGTGACCACATGTCTGATATGGTTACAGCAAGCCATGCCTCGCCTACAAGTTCGGGGAAAGAATAGGCCTTCTATGTCCGACCTTCTATATCGTAAAAGGCGATTTATGTGGGCCCCCTGAAGAATCGGGGGGTTTCTGGGGAACATAGAAGAAACCACAATTGCACTGTTGCCCGAATTGCTACATTTGTAAAGAGCAGCATGTATCCTACATGGCTGACCGAGTTAATGAGCACAGTGTATTAATTTAGAAACTGGAAATTAAAGAAGCAGTTTTTCAATTACAGCGTTTAGAACTTTTGTACAATTCATTTACACATAAATGATTATTTTCCCTGTTCACAGTTGAAGCGTTTGGCGCCGGAGCACCTATGTCGTCATGTCTAGCGTTTTTTCCAAAGCACGATGGTGTCAATAAGCAGATGTGTGCCTCCCCTTATTGGATTGAAATATCAGCGTCATCGTTCAGACCTTCTCAAGAAATAAATGGTAAGATTGTTTTACACTTATCCTGCAACAATTGCGATCATTTTAGGAAGTTGGAAAATACATTGCACATCATAAATTATCATTGACTGACAATGAAAAATCAAAAAGAAGTCTTAAATGTTCAGCAAATACATACATTGGTAATACAATCGAAATTGGGTATATTGAAATTAGTAATTAGAAACGTAGTGGACACTATACCTAAGCCTTTTGAAACAAAAGAAATATATATTTTGGGCCATGGAGATAAGTCCTGTTTGAGTATGTTTAAAACCTGAGTGAACAGCAAATAGATTGTATATATGAAGTTTAAAGGGACATCACGTGAAGAGCCATATTTTTTTTAATGAATGTATGTATTGTATGCACTTCCACTTATGATACCTCGCTATCCCCATATTCATAGTGCGTTCCAAATGTCCAGTTTGACCACTTGAATTGTTCGGGAAAGCCCTGCTAAAAATAGCGCCGATAACGTAACCTGACTAGGCAGTAAACACAAGTGGTGTGAGCGAGATGAAACGGTTTCAAAAGGGGCCCCCAGAGAGGGGCCGTCAGGCAACTGCAACTTCTTACCGCACTATGAAACCAAGTAATATGATTTCTAAGTCCGTATTCAAAGTTATTGAACAATAATTATTCATCATCAGAAGTTAATTGCACACTTGCCAATATTCAGAATTTAAATTTATTTAGGGATGGGGCAAACGTTTTTTCAATTTATCACAGCCTTCTCCCGTCATACATTTACAATTAAATGTCAACAATGATAATAGGCATAAACATAAAGTAGATATATATAAATATATATTGAATTTAGTACCGGAATGTGACCGGTACAGATGGTACGGGGCTAAACATCTTCCCTCAACCATGGGATAAACCTTTCTGTAAAAAGGAATAAAAGGAATATTGACGAGACGAATATCCCTTTTCAAATGTTTACATAAAGTGCATATATGCAATGACAAACTACACGCGTATAAAAAAAGAGAAACGTTTGTGAATTTATTTATTACATTGTACAATTCAATGTCTTTGGCCAATTTTATTTTCTAGACCATGCATATAAACGTATGTTACTCTCTTTCCCACTTTCACTGTCTCCATACGCTAACACTTAGTAAGTCTNCCCCTGTTTTCAATATGTATTCCGATTCTATCTGAAGTCGAAAATTAATTATTTATAGAGAAAAGGTTGTTACATGATTATACATCCTAAGTCAACATCATATGAAAACATGAACTGTTGAAAAATTACGATTTAAAAAAAAATGTCATGCGATCCTTTTTACTAGAAGTAGGTTCTCCTTCCTCAGTTATTCATCCTGGTCCGTCATTTTCACATTTTTAATCTAGCTGCGATAACGTAGCTTTCTGACGAAGAGCGATTTTTTTTTATATATTGCGTCGTCGCGCCAGAGGAGGCCTGGTTTTCATATTAGTACTGATTTAAATCTTGCATGTCAAAACAAAAAAAAAATCGTTTAATTCAGCAATATAGTTAAATCATACCGTTTTACTGATCCCGGTAATATTATAAATTATGTAAATCTAATACAATGCAGCGCACGTATCTCAGTTGACCCCGAGTACCGACAGAGGAGTGATGCCGTGGCCATCACAACAGTTATTCCTTGGAGGGCCTCATGGCAAAATCAAACTAACCAGTCACTTATCCTTCTTTTCGCATAAACCACTGTATAATTATAGAAACACAAAGTAAACTTTCTCCGATACATGCCCATTAACATATTAAACTAAGTGTATCTGTGTTCAAACTCACACAATGATACTAGCGAGGTTAATAGTTTTAGATATTTATTCATAACATAAACAGCGCTAGCATTTCTGTCGATTTCATTTCAGCTTAACCGGCTATCCGGAAGAATACATGCACCGTACTAACTGCTAGGGCAGTTATTTTCTGCTTTGAATACTTCCCACTGGCAATAATGATTCCGTAACATACCCCTTGTGCTATTTTTTGACCATTTGGCAACTTTTCGCTTCGTAGCTGACACGGTACAACACTTATTTTCGCTTACTTCACACGGCCAGTCATTTTGTTTACAAAGAAATGGTATGCTATGCGCATGCGCCTGTAGAGGGAAATCCCTGAACAAAACGTTGGTCAGACAGGTAGAAATACCGTTGATTTTCTTAGATTTAATCATTTTTATGAATCTATTTCAGCCAAATCCGGTCGTTATTTTCCATGAGGAGTCTCACTTGATATGTTTATGCAGTATTTGAAAAAAAGACACAAAAAAGTGACTTCAGCGTGATGCCCCTTTAAGGGAAGGTAGCACAAATGTAGAAAAAATCAAAATGTTTTTCAATTTCCATTATCAGTTATATTCAGCTTTAAAGTAAAAGCTGCATTAAAATTGAAACTAAGTTTTGAGAGTCTAAAACTAAATTTTTAGTAGAGGAACCTCATTAGTATAATTTGCTTAACTGACATTAAGTTACTGCATTAAGTATGCTATTTTACAAATGTAGATATATATGATTGTTTAATTTGAATGTCTCCGTTTGCTAGACCTAAATAGCGTATAACTTGGTGATTACTAGTATCGATATCGCAGTCGTATGGTACATGTGTAACAAAATCAAAACCAAATGTTAGCCAAGATCGAAATGTTACAGCGAATTCTCCGGAGTCTGAGGTAAGTCGATAGTGATCTTCAACAGAAATTTGGTAAGCATAAACTTTCATGAGATAATATCTTTATAACTATCAAATATTACTTGCGAATATTATTAACGGTAATGTTTTATGCTCTTGTAAGTTACTCTGATGGCGCCGCATGGTCAAACGTTTATCGGATTTATGCTGAACGTACATCGGCAAGCTGGTGACACGGAGGAACGACTTGGCAGTTTCATTAACATATTTGAGGACAGCACGAAGGCAAGGAGCTGCATTGGAGGGAAAGATGTACGTCATGTTTATAAACTAAAAATCCGAAGTGTTGCAAAATACAATGTATATCATATTGTTTAACTGTAAACAAAAGCATGTGTCGCTAAATACGTAACTCCTACTGTTTAACTGTACATGTGTAACCATTCAGTATCGCAACATATTACGTCCAATGGTATTGAACTATAAAGACGTTTGTGTCGCCACATGTTATGTTATAAATACTTTCGCTTTTCAAAACAATGTAACACATGTATTTCAAACCAGAGCAACTGGTCAGGAGTTGACTTTTTTAAATCATGTCCCCATGTTAAACGACCAAAACGATTTACTTAAAACGTTTCATTTTTGCCTCAGAACATGGTTACTCACAAGGACAACAGCGCTAGAAAACAAGTAACTGTCACATGGAAATCCCCCGCATACGAAGTAGGCAACGTCACATTCAGGTATGGTAAAGGGTGATGTTGTGCATGAACCCCGTCTCCATAAAAAGTATCTGGATTTTACCTTCGTTTATTTGTTGGGTTCAGTAATGTCTTTCAATTCGATTTAGGTGTCTCTTCAGTTGTTTTAATTATCTTTCATATATACTCTAAATCCTTATTTCGTCTCTGTGTGTTGACATTATGGTATTTGTTTAATTTTAATTGTACATTTATCTTTGATGTTTTTGTTATACATGCATGACCAACTTATTATTTTATCCGTCTCGTTTAACATATGTTATAGTGATCACTCTGTGATTTTCGAGTATGCCTCTTTTTACTACTCTTAATTTCACATAAGGGTTCTCTTGTTCTTTGTTATGCATATCAAATCATATCGACCGGCCATCTTTTTACAGTTTAAATTTGTTATCATTAATTCTCAGCATTAACTGGAGGAATTTTCCTCAAATTTGATATGTAGGTTCCCCGTCACTAAGTGGTCCTGAGTTGTGCATGTTACCTTTTGAGTTTGATTAAAAGATTAATTAAGATGGCAAATAGGTAAACTGATCGAACAGATAAGAAAAATGAAGAGAAAATATCAAACCGACATATAACTAATGAAGAGGGTACATGTACTATGGTGGGTGCCAAGATCCCTCTGGGATCTCTTGTACATATAATGATCTGAGGTCCGGGGGTTAAACCCATTCGGAACGCCTCGGCCGATTCGGTCATATTGAAAGGAACTGTAATCGGAGCGAGGTGTTCCAAATGGGGTTAAACCTGGTCGTACACATTGCATTTTTAGTTTAAATAGTCTTTTATTCAAGTATTTCAATTATATACATATATATGCAATATATATATATATATAGCATTTTGTAACAAAACTCAAAATAGGAAATAGAAACAAGTGTCTTAGACACTTATGTAAATCTATCACCTTATCATAATCTGCAAAATATATTCAGGATGGACAGCATATTGTCTCCCATGAAAAATACATACAATAATACAAACAGTGACAATAATTTAAACAAGGAGAAAGAAAAGGAGATAATTAATGGTGGAGGGTTTTGGTTGTTAATGGGTTTTACTTGTTCTTACATAAGTACAATTCGGCTTTAAGCACATTGCATTTTTACAGTCTTCTGGACACTATTTATGTCCAGTAATAGTTTAACAAGATATGGCGTTCCTTTTAGAAATTACATACCAAACTATGTTAATTCCAGAAAAATAAAATCCAATGCATCATTACAGTTTTGGCAATGGTCCGGGGACCCTTAGAGTCATAGAATCAGATGCAATTAATTAATGTACAGTATTCATGAATCATGTCATATTGAAAAAAAAAATGTTTCTGTATCATTTTAGAGCGGCCTTTGTGAAGTCTTATCATGTATTCTGGACAGATGTCACCTTACAACTACCTTCACAAACAAACATAAAACAGTCTATCGTCAATAAGGTAAAGTATTTTATTCATTATCTAAAGTAGAATGTTAACTACTGGTCATTCTCGATAATCATGGGGTTACGCTCACTGCCGCTCTCCGCACCCCTGGAATATGTCGTAGCAAAATTAAAGGCACGCGGTAAGCTATTTGATTGGTCTAAAAAAACTGACCAATCGCTTGGATGATTCCTGCCGTTTGAAGATTACAGAGAAGCGACATGCGTATTCAAAGCCAGCCAATGTTACCGTTACGCGACCGACAGATATTTTTTCTTGGAGGGTGGGAGGGGAGAGATAAGGACTAAATAGAGTAGTATTTTTAATTTTTAATGTGTTGTACATCTCCAGATGAAGAATTATATTGCCATTTGTAAAAACGGAAGAAGAAAGGATGTTTGAAACTAATTAGACTGAATTTGGTTAATTGAAACGTCGGAAACTTTATAATAATCTTGTTTTAGCTTCTTTCTAATAAGCTAGCTGATTGGTTTGATAAGTTATAGTAAATGATTTCATTGATTGAAAAATAAGAATTGATTAAAACGAAAGACAAATCAGAACATAGGAATTCTTTTACAGTGTATATCTTCTTAGTATGAAATTGAATTATAAAGATTATTCTTCATTTTTGTTTTGTCCACCAAGGCATAGACTAAAAAAAAGTGTTCATTCTATCACATGAAGCGCTGCACTGAATCATAAAGATTGTACATTATTATTCCCTCTTGGTTCTAATATACATGTACCTCAAAATATTTCAGAATACTCAATAAATAACAAGACATTTTCAGATTCTAGCCCAACAGGTGAACGTTGATTATGACGATTGTGGTAAGAGCATGGGGTGCCTGCTTTACCCGAGGTACTGTGGTGGTCTGGACTGTGACGTCGGCTTGACCTACACAATGACCAATAGCAATGCCACATTCACCTTCTGGGCACGGACAGAGATTCAAAGTTACGTGTCGCTAGGATTCTCTGGCGACAGACTTATGGTAAATATATCTAATGTAATTTAAGTCCTTTTTCCATTAATGCTTACATTTTTCAATGATTGTTTAAAAATTGTATTAATGTGTTTTGCAAAACGAAAAACATAAGGATTGATCTTCATTTTGACGGCATATACACGGTAGCATGAACGCAGTGGGCAACAAACATATTCAATAGTGCGCTTTATCTTTTAAAAGATAGCCTTTGTATACTTGTATCGAATGCTTTCATTACTCTTGTCCAGAGACGTAAATGCTACATACTTTTCTGATTGGTCATAATACTATTATCTAGTGAGGTCGTCTAATGATTATCAAATAAATGTGATGTATGTTAATATATTTAAGGTTCCTAGTATTTCAATCGTGAAATTCTCCAACAAGTCAAGCATTTACGCCATACAAAAACAAATGAATCTATGTTGCACCACAAGAATAATTGTCACATTTCTATTTTACATTAAAGGGGACGGATGAGACAATATCCTGCACATATGACGGTACTATTGTTACATTTCAACACGGTAACAACCCTAAATACTACAACCAGCGCCAGTATAAGGTAACCTCGTATACAATTTTACACATCTGATGATGTGGCGTTTCCTATATCAAAAGTCGAATCCTTCGTTTTAGCCTATACTCATTATGTTTATTATTTACTCTATAGCGTATATAAATCTTTCATCCCCTTGGGCTGAGATAGGATAATCGCAACCCAAGGGGACGATGCTTAAATTGTTTGACAAATTAAGAATCTTTCCCAGAGGGCTGAGATTCTCAATCTAACCTCAAGTGGGTGAATGAGAGTTTCTCTCTGACCCTGTTGATCCCGTCATATGCATAATGCAATATTGACATTAGAAGAATTACAAAAAGCAGAAAATAGGCAAAATGAGAGAGCTACTGTACTAAAAAACGAATTAAAAAGTATCCGAGATAGAAAAATTAATGGTATGATTTTACGAACAAAATCCAGGTGGAAAATAGAGGGTGAAAAAAGTAGTAAGTATTTTTGTAATTTAGAAAAAACCAAATAATAAATGACAACGGTAATGATCTAAGTAATATAGCTCATATATTAAAAAGGCAAAAGAATATTTACCAAAGATTGTATACAAAATCTAATAATGATATTTACTCAGCATCAGTTTTTTGATGAAAATAATCCCCTTATCAACAAACTTTCTATGGAAGAAAGGAATAGTTTAGAAGGTGAAATACACTATCAAGAATGTCTTAATTGTTTAAAAAATATGAAAAATTGTAAGTCATCGGGAATAGACGAATTTACTGTTGAATTTTGTATTTTTTCTGGGTTGATATGTATTCCTTTCTCATACGTTCTATAAATCAATCTGATATCGAAGGACAATTATCATGTTTGCAACGACAAGGTATGATTACCTGAATTCCGAAAGAAGGGAAATCTAAATTATATATAAAAAAATTGAAGACCTATTACATAATTAAATGTAGACTACATAATAGCTTCTTCTGTAATATCAAGTAGATTAAAAAAAAAGTTTTAGATATTCTTATTAGCGAAACACAAAAAAGGTTTATTAAGGGAAGGTACAAAGGGGAATGCACTAGATTATTAGATGACTTATTGGATTGTACTGAAAAAGAACATATTCTGGGTTTGCTTCTACTGATAGATTTTGAGAAAGCTTTTGATTCTTTAGAAACAATTTCATATTAGAAACACTACGATCCTATAATTTTGGTCCATCATGATCAATTAATTAGTGGATTGAAACATTTTATAATAACAATACCTGTTGCGTTGCATATACTGGACATTGTTAAAAAAAAATGAAATATGTCAGACAAGGAGATTCCATTAGTCCTTATATCTTTGTTTTATGTGTTGAATTGCTAAGTGCAGCAATTAAATATAACCCTGACATAACTGGTATAAATATAAGTTATTCTGAGTATTTCGTAAATCAATTTGCAGACGATACATCATTCACTCTCTCAGATGATCCTAACGTATTGGAAACAGTTCTAGTTACTTTAGACAATTTTGCATTAGTTTCCGGACTTAAAATAAATATGGAGAAAACGCAAGCCGTATGGATTGGATCCAGTCGGGGTTGTGGGTTGGAAATGCTTCCCCATAGAAATCTACTTTTGAATTATCAGGGGAAGTTTAAATTACTGGGCATCACATATAACTTTCAAAAGGAAAATATATAAGGTATAATTTCATAGAAAAATTAAAGTCAATAAAAAATCTGCTGGGTAATTGGTCCTTTAGGAATCTTTCATACATAGGAAGAGTTACAGTAATACAATCTTTAGCGTTACCAATTTTTATACAAACTTTAACTGTATTTCCAGATCCACCTGCAAATATTTTTAGAGATATTCAGCCGACTATCTTTAATTTTATATGGAAAGGGAAGATTGATAAAATTAAATGAAATGTTATGTATGGCTGTTACAATGAAGGCGGATTACGAGTTCCTCATGTTAAATCTTTTTTTGATAGAATTATTTGGCGGGGATAACATTTTATGTCTTTTTAAATGTTCACAGAAAAAAATGATATTGATACTACTTTTGTAGAGTATTACGGCCTTATACATGCCATACCAAGGGACTGGAAACGGATCATGAGAGAGCAAAACAATGTACCGATACAGATTACTACTTGTAAAATGATAGAATATATTAATAAAAATGATAAAGTAACAAAATACTTCAACAAATTATTGTTTAATAGATATAAAACACAACCAACGAGTCAAGGAAAATGGAATGAGGTTTTGCAAGTTAATATATCTGATGAAGCATGGCAAACTTACTACTTATCTCCTAGACCTCTTACTGGTGACACCAAACTTCAGAATTTTCAGTTTAAAATAAATAAAATTAATATTCTATATACTAATGTCAAATTAATGCAAGCTAAACTAATGGGAACAGAAAGGTGTACGTTTTGTGAACATGGAAGGGAGACAACAATACATTTATTTTGGGACTGTTGCTATATAAATGTCTTTTGGTCCTCATTTTTTAATCTTATACAAATAAAACATGGCATTGAACTACCATTTGATTCTCAATCAATACTTTTTGGGGTCAATATTGCTAGATTTGATTATGAAACAAAAAATGTATTGCTACTCTTGAAGTTTTTCATCTACAATTGTAAGCAAAGGGAAACTACTCTGTCTTTTTCCAAGGGTAAATTATATTTATCTGTTGGTCTTTACTCTTACAGTACTAAGAAAGGGGAGAAATTGAAAATAAATGGAACTTTATCACTGAAATATTTTGTTAGAAAATTAACTATGATTTACTCTTTTCAAACTATTTTGAAACATATTTCTACAGGTAAAGATTAATGTACTATATAGTAATGGTCAATCTTTGGTACACACACTTAAGAATTTACATAAATATACAATTAAAGGCATTTTTATAAGCAATCATACCAGACAAAAAGCAGTAAACGTCGGAATTGCGTTGAGTATCCCATTCAAAATGGCGCGCAGCCTTGTTTTCAAACTTGACGTCATTATAATATGGCGCTAATTATTACGCTTTTAGTTCCTGTCCTTTTTTTATTGAATTAAAAAATAGTGACATACGAAAAACAAATTTTCGGAATAGATTTGCCTTACATAGGGATTGAACGGCGTATTGTCAATTTTCATGCCGGTATGAACGCAAATCGGTTACATCCATATTGCATGAAGCCGTTTAATATGGATGTAACCGATTTTCGTTCATAACGGCATGAAAATATAAAAAACGCCGTTCAATAAATATATTTACATTTTTACTATAGAAGAATTATTTAATTATATTAATTTGTTCTTAATTAATTAATTTATTTACTGCGTTTTGTATATGCGTCGTCCTTTAAACGACGATGGCGGAACAGACCTATTTAACTAAAATGGGCGCCAATAATTTACCATAGTCATTTGAGCGTTTGACGCAGGGGCATTCTCCATATTATACGAAGCAAAGTGACAGAACGATCATTGAACAAGTTTAATCTATGACGTCATAAGTAACCCACGTGTTACGTCACGAGAGCTTTTGCTTTCATACTCAAATGTAATGCATTTCTGTTGGAAAAATTCATATAGTGGGTTGCAGCGCAAATGTAAATATATCCACACAGAAAATTAGTTTCAATTGTATGTAAAACGTAAAAAAAAATTAGTGACAAATGAAAACACATTTTCGGAATAGATTTATCTTATATCCACATAAAAATTGTCCTGGTACACCTAAAAACGGAACAGAATGGCAATCTGCGCAAATTTAAATGTATTACTAATTGGAACGTAAGTATTTCATACAGTGAAAATTTATAATAATGCTTTAAAGAGAAAATTAGCGAGATTCAATTTTATGTATACTAGAGTAAAAAAGAAACTGTCCATGCGTAGAATTGTTATAGAACATGTATTACCAACTGTATATACATGAAAATTCACACACATGACCGAGTATGACACATACACACTATCCGTGTGTCATTGACAGTTTTTCCCTTGCAGTTTGCTCTCTATAGGCGTTGACCAGTTTGCACGTTTTTCTCATCCAGCCATCCAATTCGACAATGAAAGTTTATTTTTCAACTGTTGGGTCACTCTGTTGAGACCAGTGAACAGTAAAAACAGCATTATAACGTTTTAATTTGTGATTAATGCTATGCCGAGGCTCAATGAAAATGACCGCCTCCGGATTATTGGTATGCTTCAAGCTGGTATGGGCCAAGCCGTTGTCTCTACACGTTTTCATGTCCATCGAAACTCAATCCGGGATTTGTGGTGACCACATCAACAGTTTGGCCACCTCGTGCGATGTCACGTCAACAGGACAACCGTATTCGGCTTGTCCATTTGAGAAAACGCTTCCAAACGGCAAGTTTGACTGCACGGACAATCAATGGGTTGCTACCAATAAGCCCGAGAACTGTACGGAACCGACTGCGTGAACGAGCTATCCGTCTGCGACGTCCTGCAATCCGCCCAGTTCTTCTGCCACGTCATCGTGTAGCACGTCTGGACTGATGCAGAAGGCATCTGCGATTTACTCGACGGGATTGGGCAGGCATTTTGTTTACGGACGAGTCGCGAGTCCATCTGGATAGTAGTGACGGCCGTACCAGAGTGTATCGTCGCGTTAGAGAACGTTTCCGTGACGCGTGTATGGTACAACGACTTTCTTTGGGCGGAGGCAGCGTTATGATATGGGGCGGCATCACAGCCAACGGGAGAACGCCTCTGGTGGTTGTTAACGGGAATTTGAATGCGCTACGTTACCGTAACGAGATCCTCCGAACCCACGTCGTTCCATTCGTGCATGCACAGCAACGTCACATTACGCTACAGCAGGACAACGCCAAGCCATACACAGCTCGTGTCGCTATGGACTTTCCGGCCCTGGCCTGCTGTATCCCCCGATCTGTCGCCTATTGAACACGTCTTGGATGAAATGAAGCGCAGATTACGGGTATTACCTAATCAACCGATGACGATGGCTGATTTGGCTGCAGCGTTGGTACAGATCTGGAATGCCATCCCACAGGCATTCTTGATAGGCTCCATGCGTCGACGTTGCCAGGCTTGCATTCAGGCAACGGTGGACATACGGGGTATTAACTTTGTGAACTCAGTATTGACCCCTGCTGTGTTAACGTCACTCCTGAGCGGAACTTATTGTGGAAAATGGAATGCAACTGTTAATAAATAACAAATAAATTGTCCCTGAAAACCTTGTTGTTCTACGTCATACACATTTATTTTTATAACACATTTTAGGCATGCACAGTTTCTTTTTTCCGCTTGTGTATTATTAGTTAGTTCTTTATTATCTTTAATCTTGTTTTTTACTTATTATTTCGGTATTTATACAGAGAGACCAGTTGAGCAGCATGGCTAGCACGTACAGGGACGGAAAGCTGTACTGTACATTCACCAGGCCTCATGCTATGAATGTCACCGAGTTCAGTTCAGAGGTCACGACCTATGACCTAAATAACCCCTACTACGTCATGGTTGCATGGGGTCATGTGTATGAAGGTATGTGGTGATAATGTTTTGTCATTTATCTGAAAATATTTCAAGAATTAAATGGTTGTGAATTTAGTACAGAGTCGAATCTTCGCGATCCGAATGGACAATTCATTCACGTGGAAAGATAACTTATCAATCTAAAACTATGAGGATTGAAAGCCAACATTTTGGTTCAAATAGGTGTTCTGTTCTCCAGCTAAAACACTCAATTACTTAGTTATGAATACAGAAAAACCTCGATACAATTCTCCTCGTTTCATTTGCCACCTTGCTTACAGCCAACATATTTCAGTGGGTTTTTTTTCGTTTTCTTAAGAATTCCTTTATACGTTTTCCTCAATTTATCGCAAAATCCCTTTATACCGCCGTATTTTCTCATGACAAATGGTGGAAGTTTAACGTGGTTTTACTTTTTTGCTTATTCCTTCATTTTCACTCAATTTACAGGTAATGTATTGAAATCTCGGAAATTCTTCTTAGTATATTAAAATTAAATGTATATATATTTATTGTGGAAATTAAACTCCTACCATGACAGGTAGTTCAATAAACGACCGGGAATTAAGAACTATTATAGTTACTGACGTAGAGTAATTAGAAATTTATAATTAAGCAGACATGAATATTGCTAAATGACTTTGCCATCGATTGAGTTTACTGTTTGTCACCATTCATTTTAGACACAACAACCTTTGACACATTTCATTGTTTCGATCATCATATAAACCAATCTATTTAAAACTCGTTAATAGATACTGCAGTAATGAGTAAACACAAGGAACTGCCAGTGACATCGCTGAACCCGGTACAATTCAACCAGTACATTATTCACCGCGGAGATGCCTTGCCCTTGCTCACTCAAATACATGGTGAGTATATACTCAGGTACCTGATGTTCTGTATTCACTGTGTACTAAAATTCGCTGTTTTCTAACCTGGCCCTGATTTAGCATTCGCAGTGTACAAACCCTGGCGTGTATCAACATTATCTGTGCATTTGTATTCGCTATACATTATCTTTCGCTGTAGACTTACATTCGCTTTGTGCTAGCATTCGCTATGCGATATCTCTCGCTGTAGAATAACATTTGCTGTGTGCTATCATTCGCTATGCAAAATCTCTCGTTGAAGACTAATTCGCTGTATACTGATTTTTTAACATTTTTCGATACTAGTATTAGGCATGTACTGACATCCGCTGTTTGATAAATATTCGGTGTTTAGAAACATTCTCTTTCCAACATTTTCCATGCACTTCAGTTAGCTATGTATAATATTGTGTATTCGCATTCGCTAACTATCAACTTTTGCTGATTACTAACTTTAGCTTTGTACCAAAAGTCGCCTAGTACATGTACTAACATTAGTTTTGTACCAACATTCGCCTTATACATGTACTAAACTTCAATTTGTACCAACATTCGCCTAGTACATGTACTAACATTAGTTTTGTACCAACATTCGCCTAATACATGTACTAAACTTCAATTTGTACCAACATTCGCCTAGTACATGTACTAACATTAGCTTTGACCAATATTCGCCTAGTACATGTACTAACCTTCGATTTGTATCAACACTCACCTAGTACATGTCGTCACATTAGTTTTGTACAAACATTCGCCTAATACATGTACTAAACTTCAATTTGTACCAACATTCGCCTAATATATGTACTAACATTAGCTTTGTACCAAAATTCACCTAGTAAATGAACTAACATTACTTTTGTACCAATAGTCGCCTAGTACATGTACTTACATTAGATTTGTATCAATAGTCTCCTAGTTCATGTACTAACATTAGCTTTGTACAAACATTTGCCTAGTACATGTACTGACATAAGCTTTGTACCATCATTCGCCTAGTACATGTATTGACACTAGCTTTGTACCATCATTCGCCTAGTACATGTATTGACATTACTTTTGTACCAATCGTTTAGTGCATGTACTAACATTAGCTTTGTACCAATATTCGCCTAGTACATGTACTGACATTAGATTTGTGCCAATAGTCGCCTAGTACATGTACTAACATTACTTTTGTACCAATAGTCGCCTAGAACATAGACTGACATAAGGATTGTACCAATATTCGCCTAGTACATGTACTTTCATTAGATTTGTACCAATGTTCGCCTAGTACATGTACTAACATTAGCTTTGACCAATATTCGCCTAGTACATGTACTGACATTAGATTTGTGCCAATAGTCGCCTAGTACATGTACTAACATTAGCTTTGACCAATATTCGCCTAGTACATGTACTGGCATTAGATTTGTGCCAATAGTCGCCTAGTACATGTACTCACATTAGATTTGTATCAATAGTCGCCTAGTGCATGCACTAATATTACTTTTGTACCAATAGTCGCCTAGAACATAGACTGACATAAGGATTGTACCAATATTCGCCTAGTACATGTACTTTCATTAGATTTGTACCAATGTTCGCCTAGTACATGTACTAACATTAGCTTTGACCAATATTCGCCTAGTACATGTACTAACATTAGCTTTGTACCAATATTTGCCTAGTACATGTACTGACATTAGATTTGTGCCAATAGTCGCCGAGTACATGTACTTACATTAGTTTTGTACCAAAAGTCGTTTAGAACATGTACTAATATTACTTTCGTACCAATAGTCGCCTAGTACATGTACTCACATTAGATTTGTATCAATAGTCGCCTAGTGCATGCACTAATATTACTTTTGTACCAATAGTCGCCTAGTACATGTACTAACATTAGCTTTGACCAATATTCGCCTAGTACATGTACTGGCATTAGATTTGTGCCAATAGTCGCCGAGTACATGTACTTACATTAGTTTTGTACCAAAAGTCGTTTAGAACATGTACTAATATTACTTTCGTACCAATAGTCGCCTAGTACATGTACTCACATTAGATTTGTATCAATAGTCGCCTAGTGCATGTACTAACATTAGTTTGTACCAAGATTCGCCTAGTACATGTACTTACATTAGTTTTGTACCAATAGTCGCTTACCTAGTACATGTATTGACATTACTTTTGTACCAATCGTCTAGTGCATGTACTACCATTAGCTTTGTACCAATATTCGCCTAGTACATGTACTGACATTAGATTTGTGCCAATAGTCGCCTAGTACATGTACTTACATTAGTTTTGTACCAATAGTCGCCTAGTACATGTACTTACATTAGTTTTGTACCAAAAGTCGTTTAGAACATGTACTAATATTACTTTTGTACCAATAGTCGCCTAGTACATGTACTCACATTAGATTTGTATCAATAGTCGCCTAGTGCATGCACTAACATTAGTGTTGTACCAATATTCGCCTAATACATAGACTGACATAAGGTTTGTACCAATATTCGCCTAGTACATGTACTGACATTTGATTTGTGCCAATAGTCGTCTAGTGAATGTACTAACATTAGTTTGTACCAATATTCGCCTAGTACATGTACTTACATAAGCTTTGTACCAATATTCGCCTAGTACATGTACTTTCATTAGATTTGTACCAATGTTCGCCTAGTACATGTACTAACATTAGTTTTGTACCAACATTCGCCTTATACATGTACTAAACTTCAATTTGTACCAACATTCGCCTTGTACATTTACTAACATTAGTTTTGTACCAATAGTCGCCTAGTACATGTACTCACATTAGATTTGTATCAATAGTCGCCTAGTGCATGTACTTACATTAGTTTTGTACCAATAGTCGCTTAGAACATGTACTAATATTAGCTTTGTACCAATAGTCGCCTAGTACATGTACTTACATTAGTTTTGTACCAATTGTCGCCTAGTACATGTACTTACATTAGTTTTGTACCAATAGTCGCTTAGAACATGTACTAATATTAGCTTTGTACCAATAGTCGCCTAGTACATATACTTACATTAGTATTGTACCAACACTCACCTAGTACATGTACTTACATTAGTTTTGTACCAATAGTCGCTTAGAACATGTACTAATATTAGCTTTGTACCAATAGTCGTCTAGTACATGTACTAAACTTCGATTTTTACCAACACTCACCTAGTACATGTACTTACATCAGTTTTGTACCAACATTCGCCTAATACATTTACTAACATTCGTGTCGTACCAACATTCGCCTAGTACATGTACTTACATTAGCTTTGTACCAATAGTAGCTTAGAACATGTACTAATATTAGCTTTGTACCAATAGTCGTCTAGTATATGTACTAACATTAGCTATGTACCAACATTCGCCTAGTGCATGTACTTACATTAGTGTTGTACCAACATTCGCCCAGAACATGTACTAAAGTTACCTTTAACATTATCTTTGACCAGTATTCGCCCGTGCACTATTATTGCTGCGTAATTAAGTGCATTATATACAAAGTTTTGCTGTGTATATTTACATTCGCTTCGTGCTTACTTTCGGTGAGTTCCGTCATTTGCTGTATTGTATAATTTTCTCCAAACTAAGACCTGTTTTGGACTAACATATGCTGTGTACTAACAGTCACTGTATAACAACATTTGCTTTGCAATTTTCCAGCGTTTACCAGGCAACAGAATTTTCGTTGTTATGTGACATTCATTTTATATTAGCATTCCCCGCATCCAAACGTTTGCCGGTTTGTTTACATTCTCTTTGTACGAACATTCGAGGTAACGGTTGTTAGAGTGATGGTCATTCAGACAGGATTTATTTTAATTGGCAATGTTGAAGGGGGTATCACTCAACGCTGGCAACTGACCACCACACGGAGAACCGAATGGTGAACCGAATGCATTTATACATTTGTAATTTTTAATGGCGTCATTTATCAACCTTGCACCGGCTGCAATACTGGTATGTGTAATGACATTCGCAAAGCATGAATGTTATTTGGAAAACTATTTTGGTTATATGGTTGTGCTAAAACGGGTATAATTCCTTTTAATACGTATAAGCCGCCGTAACCAAATACTTCTCGTACTATCGATAAACATTTTCATTTATTTTTAGGTATCCTCATGCTGATAGCATGGATCGTATTTGGGGGTTTAACCACCGTCATAGCGCGCTATTACAGACCAATATTTCCAGGAAAAACTTTAATTGGCACATCAGTCTGGTTTCAGGTAGGAGATATATACAATTCAATATTATTTAATTATTCTTTATTTTCCCTATATTTATCATTACTTATCATTAAGATATGACGTATACCATTCTGTATGGAAATTAAAAATCTATGTCTTTTAACAATTTTCATATGATCTAACTTCATTTTGATATGACATGCTTTCATGATTATATGATAGGTCTTTATCATTATATGATGACTTTTCGTCAATTTAAAATACGATATTACCATAACATGATACAATATTAAAATGTACTGTTATATGATAAACACTTATAAGATAGAATGTAATTCTGACATTATTTGATATTAAGTTTTATTGTATGATGATATTTTGTAAATATATCAAAGATGAATTGACGTGATATGATGGTACATTCAAAAATTATATGATTCTAAAGAGGCGTTATCAAATGATATATGCCCAGACACGGGAGAAATATGGGCGATGAAAATGCCAGGAAAACACTCGAGTGTAACTTTTAATATAACATTTTTTGTATATGTAAATAGTGATATCCCTCTTCAGCTAGATCATTCATAGTATGTATTGTTTATCTTCTCCTGGCTTTGGAGATGTGCGGAAAATCCCTTTCGTGTATAAAACATATATATATAGGAACCGGAGGGTCGGGGTCAAACAGGGGTAGTTTAGCCATATTTCTTTGAGACCTAGGATGGATATAAAGCAATATTTAAATGGAAACATCCTCAGGTGAAAATTATTCAAAATAAACAGACGAGGGGACTTAACTCGAAACATGCTGAATGGCGAGACAAAAGGAGTACTTCAGCCATATTCCATGAAGCGATTCCCTTATACAAATTTGTGATGGGTATCATCCATATTTTTCGATTTGAAGCATTCGCAGGTGGCAAGTATTTAATAATAATGATAATTGAAATAAAAAGGAGGGATTGGGCGAGGGGCGGGACCATTTGAAATGGTTGAGATTTCCGCTTCCTAGTTTGAAAGCAAGGAATCATTTTAAGGGGTACTAATGTGTAGTAGTTATATGTATATAATTACGCGAACTAATATATGCTTGTTAAAATAATAAGTTTTTTGATAAACCCAACAGATACACAGATCAGCCGCCATTGCAACGTTCTTGCTTACAGCCGTGGCATTCGTCATCATCTTCATCAAAGTAGATGGACTGACTGAAGTAAGTCAACTACATATATAACGACATATCATTGGAACTCCTATGTTTCGAGCTTAGCATTAAAAGAACGAAAACATTTTTAAGATATCACAATTTGTTCACTAGCCAATTTTAGACGATATTTTGAGACATTTACAAAACACTGTTACAACCAGTGTAACGACATAAAAATAAATTATTTCGATTTATTTCATTCAATGCAATTTTGTTGGTACTACTTTTTTTTTCACCACAGGTCACTGAACTTCACGGATGGCTAGGTATAGCTGTGATGTCAGGAGTTACGCTTCAGCTATTTGGGGGATTGGTTAGACCCAGCAATAACAGTCCTTACAGAAGCATGTTTAATTGGATTCACTGGTTTCTTGGGAAAGTTATATTTCTTGTTGCAGGTAAAAATAATATTCAATTATAGACTAAGTTTGAGGTCGATACCTGGATTTATCGACCCAAGAAAAGATATATTGACCGAATACGCAGTACGAGGTTAATATATCTTTCCTCGGGTCGATAAATCCAGATATTGACCGAAGTTGAAGGCTACAACTGTTTTATTATTTTACAAAACAGTTTTGTAAGAAATCTGAAAAAAAACCACAACAAACAATCTTCGGAAGTGGGACGGTGCATTGTTTGGAGACACGTCATAATTCTATTTTTAGAAACATCCAGTCCTTTGACAAAAATCACGCGCTCAACGTCAATATCGGTTTTTATCGGTGGACACGTGATGCACTCCTGGCCAATCAATTGTTGGGAATAGTTCGAAAAAATAATAATTTTATTTATCGCATGAATATCCTTCTACGCGCATGCATTGAATACATCAATTTTTGTGTATATCTAGTAATACAATTGTGTGTTAGAGAATGGAGGCGATGAACGTCTTGGTACATAACATTGATTGAGTTGCATTGAATACAGAAGACACGATGTCAAGATGTCGACAGTGAATGCCTAAGAAAATGTAATGTTTGTAAGTAGTGCATAATGGTTTGGAAATGTGATAATACATCATCTTAAATTTCATATCCATTCCCATTTCCTCGCGAGCTTATAATGCTGCTCGGTACATCATTGATCCTAGTTAAGATAAAAAAAGACTCTTCACTCGGTTCGACAATCATCTATAAAACAGAAGAAATATCATCCAGAGTCTCTGGTATATTTTCGTGAGGTGTTTCAGCTGTATGTGTGCATCACTGCTTTTATGGTGGAAAAGCTCGTGATCAATTTATTGATATTTTGCTTGATTGAAATGGTTGACAATAATAATGATGTTACTGTAGACAAAAATAATATAAGAAAAGAGAGAGAAAAAAAAGAACAAATAACTTATAAAAGTATTTAACATATATAAACTTCAATGAAAAAGTCAATTACATCAGGGATGATTTGATCTCAGTTTACGTAGTGATTAATCAAATGTATTTCCTATTATGTTTTAGTCGCATCGTGTTTTGTTGTGTTTGATACCGGATTCCTGCCCCATGTCCAGGAGAAGTTTGGTACCATTATGACGGCCGTATGGATTGGTCTTCAAGTCGTCTGGGAGCTGGTTTTTGAAGTTTGCAAACGTAGAAGACTCGGTACGTAACTAAGTTATATAAACAATAATAAATCGATATAAATATACAGCTAAGTAGTTAAAATTAAATGATTTATTCTACTTTAGACTTACACAATTTCGTTTTAATTTATATAACAAGAAAGTGCCTCAACAGCAATCTTGCTTTTCTTCCACTTGTTAAGATAAATAGTAAGCTTTTTCAAACTTCCCGATGTTTTTTATTCTCAAAACTATATGGTAAGTACGTGGTAATCCATAGTTGTATTTAATATTTGTTCACATTTTAGCTGTAGACTTCAGGTGAAAATTTTATTTACTAACCAAAAATAGATGCCCAGAAATGTATTCAACATAACACCTTTGCTGTTTTTACTTGCAGGACAGAACAACAAAATGGACGAGTCTACAACATCACCAACATCAAACTTCTTATTGGTTTTATACGTCATAACTCTATTGGCATTGGTCACTCTCGCTTCCTTGGCAATTTTCTTTTTTTAGATTTTGAATTGTTCATTCCCATTACACTTTTCAACGGAAATATGCTGATTAGATTACAATCATGGTATTGATTTATCAGCAGTAACATGTTGAATGAGTATTTCAAATTCTTCTCGCAAATGACCAAATTATATTAACATCATTACAAAAAATTGCAATGTGAAAATATGTAATATTTTCATTTTTTAAGATGGTTTTTTTTTAAAGAGAGATACGTTATGTGTCAGTGTACAGTATTTATCAGATATGTTGTTTTAGTAGTTAATGAATGCCATGTATTGTATTTGGTAACTTACAACTTAAGAAAGCAAACGTGCATCTTAAGAAAAATATATATTTGGGAGGATGTATATTAATTAAAGCGATATCATACATGATAGTTTGCCTTGTGTAGAATAAGGACGCGAATCTGTTTCCTACCCTTACGTAAGCAGAAACAGTATAATAATTTAAGATGTAAACTTGACTTTCATTTTATTAAGATGTTTGTGTTAATGCAATTATGACGTGACTGACTTTGTGTGTGTTTGTCTTTATGGTGCTGTGTACAGCATTCATTGCGGTTCTCGCCAAGCCTGGGCAAATCAAAACCAAACAACAGACTTTCTTCTTCCGCGGAAGATCTTTAAATGCTGTGTTGATTAATTCATGGTATGACTAATGCTATAAAATGATGAAATACATTTGAAAACGGTCAATAAATCAAAGAAAAAATGTTAAAATTTTACGAAAAGGCGAGTTTTTTTCAGTGAGCATCATGAACTATAACAATCTCAGATTACTACGTTTTTTGGACCGAATAATTTCCTCACAAAAACAAAACCCCACTTTCTCTCCTTCCGCAAAAGATCATTAGATAATGTGTTCATTATTTCATGATATGATCAATGCTATAATATGGTAAAATATATCTGTATAAGACAACAATATCAAAGAAAATATGTATAGATCTTTAACACTGGCGTTTTTAATCAGTGAAGTTCCGAACTATATTTGGTTCAAATTACTAAGCCACGTATTCCAATATTATTAAGTGTGTGTGTAAGAGTTTTCTACCCTTGTCCATCATTGCGTAGTTTCATGCTCGCGACTTGTTGAACGACTGTTTGATAACTGTCCTTGATAAAGTAGGCTTCGTGTTTTCTTTGTCTCAATGGAAGGTCTCCAAGTGAAATAGAATGTTGACTTATACTAAAGTAGCCGTCAGCAGCTGTGCCTAACGAGTTTATAGATAGCTTCCCAATGCGACAGCAGCTGTGCCGAACGATTTGTAGATAGCTTCCCAATACAGTCTCTAGATAATGGCCCGATTAATATAATACAAGTGTTTCGTGAATATATCATATTAAACATCAAAAATTTTAACCTTATATACATATTATTCACATTTACCAGAAACTGAATAATTATATAGGTCTTTAACTTTCGTTAAAATATCGAGAGAAGGAGAGATACACAAGGTACTTGCATAATTCCCCGATTATACTCACTGGAAATAAAACAATCTCGTTTTAATTTTTTGTGTAATTAATCATGATAATAACATATTGTAATAATAGTATCATAATTATTTATTTATATTATCTTTATAACATTTTTTTACTTAATCGTAAACTTTCCCATAATCTTACGGGGCAATTATGGTTTGCAGGGTTGTCTGGTCAAGGTCACTGTTACTATTTTTAAAAATATTATTGTCTGTACTGTAGCAGCTTCATTCCTTGAAGGATTTACATTGATTTGAAACACTAATTAAGGACCATAATATCAGACAAGTTTCAATTTTAGGGCAGTTGGGTCAAGATCATCGTTACTTATGTTTATACTGCTAATGGTAGCCAGTAAGGGACCTATATTGTTTTAGCAATACTGTGCTTGTTATCTATATTTTTATTGAAAATTATGATTATGGGATGGGCTATTATGACCCTTACTCAACAACATGTTCGTTATTATTTCCTGCCATTCTGTACTGATATACCACCTCCGTTATTCCATAATTTGAATCCTTCATACACAGCATCCCTGAGTGCCCTCGGCACTTTGATTATATAATTGTTTATTGCAAAGAGCTATATACATGTACCTAAGGAAAACCACTTAAAATATTGTTTAACTTTTACAATAGTAAAGAATCATTTAGCAAAATTCTAAACAGCTAGCTGAACCGAATGAATTAAACTTCATTATAACAAGCATGTCTTACCTGACATTAACCAGAATACTATAGTTTATGTAAGTCCTATAACTAACTGAAGTTCATTGTATCTCAATGTGAAATTATCTCATTATCATCTATATACTACTATGTACAACCTACTGGAAGCATGATAAATTCATTATCATGGGATGTAAGTATGAGAATGCCAAAGAAGAAATTGAGAACGACTTGATAACAACTTGAGAAGAACTTGAGAAATGATTTTTTTTATTTCCCGGCATTTGAGAGCGTATTTTCATAACGTCTGCTCGCGCCAGGTGACGTCTTAAACCGGAGGTGATACATTGTATCAACACAAAAGTGATCCGCGTAAGAATATAGTCTGTCATAAACAAATTAATATAAAGATACGAAAAATTACTGTGAGGACGAAAACACAATTTCAAGCGTAAATGTGCATATGAAAAAGCCAATGACGATACGATTTTTATATTTCCTTGTATTCCTCCGCGCAAATCTTCTATTTGTTAACGTTTGTCACAGACCGAGGAATTGCGATCGTCAATCATTGAGCTTAGAAGTCATTTAGAAAACATGGTTTGTAGATGACTTTTTTAAATGGAGAAATATATAAGGATGATAAATAGTTGATCAAACAGTATTTTCAGTGTTTGTCGTTCGAACAATTTTCTCATCGCTCGCACGTAAATAAAATTTCGAATTCACCTGCGGTGGCCTCTCGATTTTATCCACGTGCTCGCGATGATATTTTTTTCTCGCTACAAACCCTGAAAATACGGTGCGATAATATATAAATATGACGTCATCAACATCATTGATAATTACTTAAATGTGTTAAAACGTAATACAAATAATGCCATTTTACAATCAGTGTTCATAATATTCTATCTATTATATTTTACATTAGTTTTATAGAAGAAGACTGATTAAGGCATAGCCTGTTGTCTGAATATTTTGTCAATACTCTTCTACATGATGGAATTTGGTATTTTGTAACATCTCATTTGATATATGCATCTGTATTTGTATTGTTATCTGGTTATAAAGTATAACAAGAAGTAGCAAATATCTTTTTTGTGATTAAAAAAGTGTGAATAAGAGATGTCCTAGCACATGTGGGACGGGAGACTTTCATCTCTGTATAATGTCAAATGACCAATAGAAAGTGATGACACTTTTATTCTTATAATATACCAAGCATTAACGTTTCATGATATTTGAGATGTAATAAATGAATGATAAAAAAGTTATACGGCATATAAATACGACAAAAAAACACATTGGTTTTTCACTTTATTAAACTAGTTAAACACTACATTGTATATATATTGCACTCAGTAACTATATTGCACAGATGTATGCTCATTGATAATATATGAAAGTATCGTTCTTAGACAAGGGAGTCTGTAGAATGAGTAATCGTTCAGATAAAAAAGATCGTTTAGGGAGGAAAATTACTCACTGTCTAAGGGATTTGATCAAGACTTTAGAATTGCTTTGAAACGTTCTTTAAATTAACAGGTATATTGAAGTGTTTGTACTTTCGTACGCATAGACAGTTCTAGTTCAATGAAATAAATATTTTATATTTTACAACATTTCAATGGAGAATGAACGTTACAGATACGACTAATGCTATCAGTAAAGATGATAGCGATCTCGTGCTTGCTTTGTTTGGATCTGGAAAAAAGAAGAAAAAGTATTATATCGCTATGAAAATGATTCAAATAATAGTATTACTGTTGTAGTTTTATCTTATTGTAAAATTACCACACATTCACGATCATTATTTGATATCAATCAACAATTACTCTAATCTTAATTGGTATATATATATCATGATATCAAATTGTCATGACAATCATATACATGTGTACGTCGAATATTTATGAGTATGGTAACCATGCATATATTTTGAACTTGAGCTACATGACAAAACTTACGCCATAGATAATTTGAAACTGCTCTTAGCAATCCATCAATATCTCGCTCTCTGATTAAACATTTTACAAATATTCTTAGTTTCATAATTGAATACTGTAAAATTACCCTATCATATCGAAATACCGTCGTTTCCGCCTTATAACAGTAAGGATGTTTTACTGTTCTTATTGAGAAGAAATTTACTGTGGATTCTTTGAACTCCCATTCCTCATATTTCTGACTATTAACAAAATAAGGGCTAGGTAGATTGTTGATGGGTTTACCCATGTGCTACCCTATTAGATGCCGAATTCTGATACGGAAATTACATATTTCAGTCGAATTTATAGATGGATCTGATGACGTAAACTCTGACTATCGTTATTTTTTTTTATTTCATCATAATGAAAAATTGCAGACAGCAGAAGTTATTCATTGTATTTACTGCCGTTTATCTTATACACAAATTAACTATTACATTACATACTTAGTCCGTACGGCCATTTTTCGCAAATGAATCCTATTTTTGCTTTGCAGTTGATGTCAATATAACGCCCAGACCACGCCAACATCACACAATCTTTATTGCCCAGCTTGTCATTGGGTTCAGAATTCCAAGGTCTGTGAATGAATACGTTAAATCAGAACGGAGGTATTTCCGTTTCGGTCGCAAAGTTGAAATAACACATTTGACAATTATCGTGCTATTGGACAATATAATAACACATACATATTACCTGTTTATGGCAAACAACTAATATCCTACAGTGTAATTATAGTTATCCAACAATATCATTTAACTAAACACTACACTTGTACACTGCATACGTACACTGTTACCATTCGATCACATATCACACTACTACAGTTCTAATCATATTCTAATTGCTAATCGGCACCTGCTTCTTTCTTAACATAATTTTAGACATTTTCTTTCTAACCACAGCCTTTATATTAGGGCTAAGAAGACTGAAAAAAGGGCGCTAAAACCAATTTGTTTTTAGAAATAATGATTCTTTGATAAACGAAGCAAAAGAACGTGCTCCAACATGCCATATTAGGAAGCAAGGTAGTTTGTTGTCTTACATGACGGCCATGTTTGGAGGCAGGTTTGACCTGTCGGGATAAGTCCAGATGCCTTCATTTTTAACGTCGTTCAGTCCCGTCCACCAAGATTTGGGATTGAGGGCTTGCTTCGTCAACAAGTTGTTTATGAAGGTCTTTAAAAAATGACAACAATTATACTTGTATATTTTTAGGACTCTAGTTGAAAGTTTTCACTAAAAATGATATTTCGGGTTCTATTGGTTTAAATTTTCAAGCAAGTGAGAATACACAAAAGGGAACTATACCCAAAATAGAGCTAATTCAAATAAAAAATGATAAAGTTATAAGAAATGTGAAGAAAAATATTTTCTACCTACATTATACCTCTGCCATTTTGTTATTTAACCAATTTCCAAAAAGGCCTAAAATATGATATTCAGAAACTGACTTGTATTAGAAAGTGTTCTGTTTGGGTACCATCCCCACCTAAAACGTCCTAGTGAATCAGACTCAAAATGAACGTCTTATAATTGACACGCACGTGTTTTGATATTTAAGAAATTTCCCAGATGAAAGGTCAAGGCATTTATAGTTTTATCATAGAAAAATATTGATATTTCATAAAATGTTAAGGAGATATATATATATATATATATTTCTTTTAGAGTGTTACATTTTTGGTAACCTCATGTCAGGTTAAACTTTAACATGAAACTAATTCTCTTAAGAGACGTAATTAAATTATAACCTGCCATGACACTTGTTTTTGTTTCCTTTTCTATTTCATATAATGTACTGTACAAGTTGAATTCCAATGTGTTGTCAAAACATTTGATTAAAATAAAGTTTAAACCAAATAATAATCTTGGTCACAATCTCGTTAAAAAGCCGCGGCTTATTTCATTTTCAGTTAGGAATTCAGGCTTATTTTCCAAGTCTGTCTATTATCAAGGCAGGCATATGTCCTAAGTCATTAAGACAGTAAACCATCAATGTTATATAAGTTGTTAACTATCAACTTAAATACCTATTCATAATGACAGGAAAAATGCGGCTGAACTTTGAATACTATTCATATTTCAAAGCCGTCTTATTTCCACAGAGAGCTTATTTTTGGACATATGTTTGACTGCAATGAATCCTAGGTGTATTTTCAAAGTCGTCTTGCTTTCAAATCTATTTAGAAGCATGTTATTTAGAAGAAAACAAAATGCAGTAGCATAAGCAGATATGGAGGCAGCGTTAAACGAGAAATGCCTACCTGTTCTGCCTGGCTATTTACGGCTAGAAGTGCTGGCTTCATTTGACCGATCTGTGCCATATCCTTACTACAGAAAGTGTTTGCCTCGTCCCATGTGAATGTCTGATTGACGGCAGTAACATAGTAGCAAACAGTACTCGTACCTGCCCAGGTAACCCATCCTGTAGGACATGGACTGCCTAAACAGGAAGAAAAGCCATTGTGATTTAAACAACAATTATCGTTTTAACCATATCGAGAATTTCTGATTGATTCACAGATATATTGTGTAAGAGACATGTCATGTTAACATATGAATACCATACTGATTAAAAGCGAGTCATTAGTTATATAGTCAAATATCTATAGCAGTTTTTAATTTCCAAATTGTATAAAGTATACCATATATTTACTATTGACTTTTGTATTAAACAGAATGTTGAGCTAGCATTTTTACGACAAACGATTTAAGAGCGTGTATATTGTCTTTTTGATACAACTTAGCAATGATCAGACAGGCAACACAAGGAAACTCCTGCTAAAAATGCATACGCTGGAATTTTATATTCAACGTAAAGATGAACGAGACATTTTTGAACATACATAATCCGAATCACTGTTTTTGGTCATGTATGATGACAGACGACAATATTGATTAAAGCAAGGTAAGTAACATATATGTGACCACGTTTACATATAAAGGATCTTACATGAGTGTCCATTCATATTAAATTTATTAAACGAAATGAATCATTTGATATGACAAGAGCCTTTAGGCGAGTGGCATACCAACCTATTGAGTGAGTTTAATAATGTCCATAAGATATGAACACGAATGTAATATTCTTTTTATCACATAATATTCATAATTTGAAGAACAAAAATCTTCAATCACAATTTTGTGTTATCAGCTGATTCTATATAGGTAAAACCCAAAGTACTCCGATCATAAAATTGTCGTTCCGCGCAGTGCAAAATAGTTTTTTAAATTCAATGAAAATGTTAATGAAAAAGAAAATAATCAAATTAATTTAAACAACAGTTGATATATCATGAGGCAAAGTTAATAAAAGAAGTACCTGTAGTGGTGTAGGAATATGTTCCCACGGTTTCGACCAATCGCAGTGCCTTTAGGTTTTATTACACATGTGTAATACCATATTATTGACATGGCCGTATGACATAGTAAAATTGGTCAGTTATGTGATAAATACAGGTTTCGACATACCGGTATATTCACAAATGGCGGGTGCTTGCAGGAAACAGTCCCTATCATTATAGTTGCCATCTTGACGAATGCCAGCACAATCTTCGTCCCCAAACCACGAGTTTGGTTCCTGATTCCAACGACTAAAACAGTCAAAGACATCTATTGAAAAAAATCAAAGCAGAAATTTACAATATTATATAATTTATATTTAAAAATGAAATCATTCTGCCTAAACTTTTAATCTTTACCTGACTTAAAGACTTCCATGGTGTTGATACTTACATCAACGAACTATTAGCTAAGGCGCCGTCCGCCCAACGATACGTTCCTTCAGTGGCCCTGTCGTTCAAGCCTGACCAATAGACGTTTGGATGAGACTCGTCAGTCAGCTGCCATTCAACCCAGTCCTGAATTATGAATAAGTGAAAAACCAAGGAAAGGGGTATTTTCACTTAACAACCAAGTACGTCAACAAATCAGAAAAAAAACTGAAAGCTATACACTGTACCTACCCTTTCGTCCAGAGTTTCTACTTTTAGTAGTCTTGAGCTGAGACTCTGGCATTTTGAATTGGCATCAGTCCAGCTGCTTTTGGGTCCGTCATATATCTGATAGCACTTGTGACCGGCTCGGGTCCAGCCGTTGCATCCCATGTAGTAATCCGAATTCACTTATGATAAAAAAAACAATCATATAATGGTTTCTATGATATAAATATAAGTGATTTCTTCGTTCAGGGATCTATGCCATTGTTCTGGTTTTTTTTATTCGAATTTTACATAAATGCACACATTTTTATAACATAACCTGTGACGCAGACAAACGATCTTCGCACTTTAGAATGCCAAAAGAGATTCAATATCTACACAATAGTTAAATCCCAGGTCAAGATTTAGTTGAAAGAAAATAGTGTTATCGGAACACAACAAATAGTTCTATGTCCAAACAAAACATCCCAACATGAAATACAACCCTCGCCATGTTAACACAGGTAAAATCAAAGCAATATCACGTTTTCAAAGCGAGAGCCATGATAATGGCAAGTAAACAATAAGGCATACTAATTAAATGAATAAAAACGTCGACCTTTATACCATATGAGTTAATCTTGGTTGTATTTCGAATGAGATCATAATACCTATCTTTAAAATGTCCATAGACTTCATCAAGACAATTATCATTAATTCTGTAACCTGGACTAAAAACCGGAGGTGCTCTGGGGAACGGATTAGCGTTTCTCTTACCACATGTGGTATCTTAATGATATATCTCTTGCAATTCACGAAAGAATCCAAGGAAAAGTTAGCTCCCGTTTTATCATAATACTATCAGAAAGAGTGACTATATCAGCTTACCTGTCGTCGTGCCGAGTCGACAGACAAAGTTCATCTGTCTGTTGCAGTTCTGGTCGCTAAATTTACCGTCAGTTTTGAGAATAGCACAGTGTTCGTTGTTGTTTATGTGGTCCGGTTCGGTGGCCCAGGAACTGACAATTGGAATCAACAAGACGGAACTACTAACATGACGATTTGTAAAATACGTACATGTATAGCTTCTTTACTTATAATCATTTTTCATCATGACTTGACTGATAGATGGATGTCATATCGTAAATAGTTAAATAAAATGTTTTGAAACATAAAAAAAGCATCTCTACGCCATTTTTGTTATCAACTTTCCAGAAAATCTCAACGCTTCTTTTAACTCTTTGTTTGTTTCTGATGTTATCATACTTATCGTGTACTCCATCTAAAATATCATATATATTAAAGTTCCCTGTCCCACTGCATAGTGATTTTGTCGTATATAAAATAACCTCTCCTTAATATCCTGTATGATTTAACTGTACCACATGTGTTCTAGGCCACTCCCGTTGACTAGGTAGCTCAGTCATTTAGTGCTATAGAATAGTTTAGATTCGAACCGTGGTCTAGCCTCCTCTAAAGTCTTACACTCAGCACACTGTTGTTGATTTTTTTCTCTCCAAAAAGTCCTACAACGTCGTTTCAGAAATGATTTCGCAAGTTATAATCATGCCGGGAAATAGTTTCCAAAAACGTGGTTAAAGGGAGAGGTAAAGGAATCATTGAATATATAATAAACAACTTGTAATAAACCTGTAGTACCATATTCTCCATGTTTGTTCCCTTCAAAACTTACAAATATCCGGCGTTGTATGGGTCCCCTCCGTCCCAAGCCCAGGCGGTGGCAGTTTTTGTAAGCCCGGTCCAATACATTATCGTAGAATTGGCTATCTCTGGCATTTCATTCACGATATAAGCCTGCGACATATTTATATAATGATTTTAAAATAAACTTTGAGGTAACTAAGCAGGAAAGACATCATCTGTTGGGTGCGGTAATTTAATCCCATCAAATGTTTATACATGCAGCTCCATCAACAAACTATTTTTCTTTTCTCTTCATAATATGTATATACCGGTATATATTTTATGTCTTTTCAATATCAAAATAAAAGGTTAGAATTCAAACCATTAGATTCAATTATAATAAAAATGAGTATTAGTAGTTGTTTCCCCTAATTTGATTCTTAATTTGATAATACCAACTTGTTTATATGTGTTTGTATGTTTTCTATGTCTATGCTTGTACCACTGTCTGTTACTATGTTTGGAAAGGGCTTAAATAGGCTATGCCTTCTGCCCAATCCATTTGTCCTTTGACAATAAAATTTATTGAAATTGAAAGACATCATCCAACATTGAAATAGCATGTTATCAATAGCATAGGTACAATACGAAATATTATGGGAAAAGATCATAATCTGCAAAAGATATGCAGAAAATATTTCTTATAATTTATCATTTCAATTTAGTTATTGAGTTCAAGTATGTTGCTTCATTTATTATGAAACATCGAGGAACCTATTCCGTTTTTGCGTATTGCAGAGTTATCTTCTCTTGGGAGCAGGTATTGATTGTTACGTCACTTGTTTGTGAGAGTAACGTCATACATTTTTGAGAAAACGACGTATTTTCTCACACAAACCAATGACGTAACAATCAATACCTACTCCCAAGAGAAGATAACTCTGCAATACGCAAAGACGGAATATACAACCTTTTATCTCAATAGATTCAAACAGAATGGTAAACTGTTCAAAATCCTAATGAAATTGATTCAAATGGATTCTTTTATACAAGATTATATTAATGATAGTTGACCTATACAGAACCAAAAACTCATGTTATTAGGTACGTTGTCACTTATTGATTTACAATGTACTTATTTCATATAAAGTGTAAAATAGACAAAGAAATGTAAATATCTTAATACTCAATTTTTCATTTGTGGTACATTTTTTCATTTATAATTTTCGTTTAAAAATGTGATATATATTTCTATTGTTCTTGACATAGGCTCATGAAATGCTCGCAAAATCTTGCTTACTATTAAAAACGCTAAACAGTAACAAGAACAAATAACACACGATACATGTAAAATATCACAGTTACTGAGCTGACATAGAAAACAAAGGAATTCTCTTTGAATCTATTGAAATAAAAGGTTGTATATAGGTTCCTCGATGTTTCACAATAATCAGTCAATTAAACAAAATATTCCTTACAGCATCAATGGGCCTGTCAAGCGTTACAAGCTTCCCCTTGACATTGCCTACGACTTTGGCTGCGCACATGGCCTTTGCATCAGTCCAAGACAATAGCAGACTAGGATCACTGGTGTTGCTAAAGTAGAAACAGGTGTCTGTTCCAAACATCCAACCAAATGGACATCCACCGTCTAAAGGATACAGGATATCAAATTTAATGTAATGTCAGAGAGAGTGAGTGTAAGCGATGCATTGTAACGAACAAAGATAAATTAACGTACAACTGTCAAAAAATATAACTGTTTTTTTCCAGCTAGAACAATTTTCATTTCAAATATCTTTTTTGATTTTTGATGTGTTAGTTGACACAGATAACATCCATTTTTACTAAATAATGTCTTGTGTGTTATGTATTCTCTCTGATACTTGTATCCGAATAGTTATGTTTTTATTTCTGGGGGGTTAAGAAAACCATATATTTATCAACATATAATAGGATATCGCAGTTAAAGAATATCACATGAACTTTCGTCGGAGTCAAAGATAATCTATTTTTCATTTTTACCTGTGCCAACGTCCAGCTCACATATATATCCGAGGCGCTGATCACATCTCCAGTTTTGGAAAACGCCTTGGATATTGATTGCTCCACATGAGTCCTTTGGGTTATTGGTAGGATATTTTTCCCACGCGCTGTAATAGATGAGGCCTCGATGAAGAAATAGTTTTGTAGTCTTAGCGCATGTTAAATACTACATGAATCTAAGAGACCGGTACGAAAATAATTTATAGTACGACAATTAAGGGCGCTTTCTTCAGAATCAACCGATGGCGGGTATATCTTTCCATTGATTTCGTTAACAAATAGCTTTGACAATTAATATTAACATTAGCATAGACAGAAGAAAATGTGTCTCATGTACATTTTATTTTTATTAATGACTTATTATCGAAACGGACAATCAATGACAGGCACCAATGAACCACTTCAACAAAATGAAATACATCATGCTCTGCACAAAAAGCCGAAAGCCAATCTAGGTGATCCAAAGGAGTTAGCGTTGTTTACACGAATCACATCTGGTATTCATCTTCACGCCATACTCACATTGCGGACATATTAACTTTCTCGTAGCCTCCCCATTCCCAGACTCCTGTCCCTGTGGATGTCCCGTCAAAACGAAGGTCTGTCATGTCTGTCCAGAACCCATCTGACGTAAACTGTGGAATAGTGGTGTCTATAAACATCTAAAAAGGAAACGCAAAATGTTGAGTACAATGTATATCAAATGCTTTTGTCGTATTAACTTTTTTTTAAATAACTATCTCAAGATGAGTAATCATAACGCTATTTATACCCGGTATTGTATATATATGTAATTCTGTCCTATCTTTATTGAAGAGCATCTGCAAGCAAACTTGTAACTCAGTCACCACAAGCCTGATTGTCCCTTTATCTCGCAGGTTTCCCTGAAAATTTCTCTGTCTATTTCAGATTTCACTTTCCATACACTTTCAGTTGAAATGGGTATAATGTTACATAGCAAGATTCTTCAGAGATAATAACAAAATATGAATGCTTATTCCATTTGTAATGAAAAGATAATCTACGCAACAAGAGGTAGATGGGACCTGTGACACAACGATGAATACATCAAATCCTTATTGATGCAAGAATTATATCCAATATGATGCCACGGGGAATATTGGGCATGTAATCTTCACTCTGTATATAAAATGATTATTTGTGTATTGGAACTCACGATTCACACTCATTGTATGTGAACATAATCCTGAGAACATTATATCATTACCTAAGCAAGTAATTTACATTAAATAACCAATCAATGATGACGTTTTCCTGCTCAACATAAAAATGAGGTCAGTTACCTTTTCGTTCGCTGACTCGACCCTGACAAGTGTTGCTAAGTAATTGTTACACTCGTCAGCAGCCTGTTGGTGTGTCACACGCTTGTTGGTGTTGAAGAGATAGCAATACCCAGCATTGGGATACCACCCAGGGTTACAGCCAAGGTCAACGGTGTCGCCAAACACACCTACCAGTAAAACATCAGTTACACGCTGGACATCAACAACACTATATGCAAATATGTCATCAAAACATGCACACGGGGGCTAAATAACTGATAAGTTGATAGCACAGGCGTCAGGAGGTAACGTTTCAGACACGATGACAGACAAATTAATAACATCGCACATGGCGTCAATAACTAATTTCGTCAAAATTATTAGTTTTACATGATATTAGATAAATAATTTTGGAAATATCCTATCAAGTATCAAGCTTTAGTAACATACTGCATCATAACAAAAACAATAAACGCATGCCGTGGAAATTACATTTTTACATTAGTTATACATCTGTCATATACGTGAATTGCAAAATAAAAGAAATACCAAAGCGTCAATGGAAACATAAATCGAATTAAAATATCCCAGAAAATAATGACAGAATATGAATAAACAAAAGCTTTACAGGGAAATCATTGAAAAGGACAAGCAGAATTAAACCAGTTGACCTGTAATCAAATAATTAAATACACACGCGTACGTTATGCATACCAACATACTTCGATTGTACCTATTGGATTGAAAACTTGAAAAGAAACTCAAATAACGAAATGTGACAAATGTTTTGGCTATTAAGCATGTATGGTATCAGTGGTTGCGTTTGTTACATTGTACTTGCTGATCTGATATTTATATAAATTCTAACGGTCATTTTGGGGGGAAGCAACTAGTGAATTGCTGTTTGATTATGAGGTCACAGTCTGAATACATACAAGTTTATGCTGTAAAATGTTGTACTTTACACATTGAGACTATTTTAATGAGTTATTTCCCTTGTATGATAAATTGCGCAGGCCAAACTTAAGTCGCTGCTTGTTTACTGTTACATGTACGCCGACCTTCTTATGTTGATGAGGTTAATCCTTATCGAATTGGATATGTAAAAAGTAAACATATGAATGAAGATATTTTTTGTGTGCCAAATCCAAAGTTTCCCTCCGGGGAATTTGTCTAATTCACGTTAAAATTGTATTTATCAGATATGAGGCTAGCCGAACATGAGACTATGTAATATTCCCAGTGAATTCCACCACGTATGAAAGACGACACACAAACTTTAAAAAATAATATGAATATTTCTGTTTTGTAAAGTGTTCCCTGTACCATAGTGGAGAACATGCAGATTACTTAACCTAGTCATTATATCTCTAAGAGGATATGCATAGCGTTATGTATGAGTTTGCAAGCTTTTAGACATGAGCGATTCCGTGGACTGCATATGGTTGAAAAGCGATATATATGCTTGCTAGAGCTTAGAAAATAAGCATTTGAATGAACCATCAATAAAACATTGTTAAATGTTTTTTAATTCAATCAGAAAGAGAAATGGCTTTCCCAGTCTACCTCGGACATTTTCTTGCAGCGTTAACAATGATTTTGTTAAACTTAAATTCCGTTGAATAGTAAATGTTTCCCGATATTTATAAAGATACACGAAACACACAGACACACACGGGTGACTGTAGCTTTAAATTAGGTACTAGACACAGTATGCCAAAATGAATTACACTGCATAATACAGCTGTTTCATCCTTCTAGGAATCATTTATGAACCTAAGGGCCATCAAGGTATCCACCAGCAGAGTCTACCACCTTGCAATGTAACACACACCCACAGGTGATTGTATATTTATATTTGGTATACAAAACATAAATAACGTTGCATTCCCCAGCTTTATATCGTCCTTCTAGGTGTGGCTAGGGGCAAAAAAGATGAAAAAAATATATTGGTTTTAATCTTCATAAGTGTCCCTAGGAAAGCTGTAACAGAGTAATCCGTCTTTTCGTATTGCATAGTTATCTGCTCTTGTGAGCAGGTATTCATTGTTACGTCATTTGTTTGTGAGAGTAACGTCATATTTTTTTGAGAAAGCGACGAACAGGAACATGGAGACATAGAAGCTCTTAGGATATCTTTAGTTAGAAACATTAGGTGCAATGGTGTTTAATAAAATGATTACCTGAAATATGAAGTAAGGAATCACACATTTATATATGTGGTTTGTAAATGAAGAAACCACACAACGTAAACATTTAACGGCACTATATGTCCATTTCGTCCATTCAGGACTCTTCGGCGGTATAACTGTTGGTTCGTTTGTGGTATAGAGTTAAATGTCCTATCAACAGCTTAGGTCATTTAAGGACTTGTCTCCATGTGTGATGTGTATGCGTGGATATGTGTATGTGTGCCGGAGACAGGGTATGTTGGTGTACTTGCCTCCTTGTGGTAGCGTGGATCTGATGCCAACTGTATAGTGCTACCTCACTGAAATACCATGTCGAAGGCACCCAGCACAGCATTTAATCAAGTCACATTATATTGACAACGGGTGAACCAGCTGTTGTCATTACCATTTTAAGGATTTAAAAGAATGCAGGTTTATGTATAATGTGATTCAGTAGATATGGAAAGGTGAAAAGTGTTTAAAATCTTTTATGACGTCACAAATATACAACGTTTGGTTACTACGTCAATATATTTTTAAACTCGTGTTTTATGAACACAAGAGTACGGCCAACCTGGAGATCTGATACTCCACCAACAGAGTCAACCACCTTGATAGTGAAGTACCAAACACTAATACAACGTAGGGAAGCACTGAAGTAGAGGCAGTGGTAGGAGATCTCTCATTTTCTAAATAGTGTGGATTAATTGCCCGGATTGATTTGACGTATTTTCGTCTATTTTTTGAAAAGATGAAACCCGAGTCTGTCGAACCTGTGACCTTAGTTGTAAGTAAACAACAGACCAGGAACCTAAATATATTTCAACTATTAGATGAAAGTAAAAGTACATATTAATGCAATTATTATGCTATATGGTCTATGAGATGGGTATGGGGAACTGTAATACTTACTGTTTAAACAGGCAAATAAATTTTATGAAACATAGTTTATGATTTAATTATACGTGTTTGCAGTAATGTTGTTTGGTATCAAAATGAAGAACTGCTGATTGGTCTTTAGAATGTATAACATAAATACTGCCACAAAAGGTACTTGGTTGACCAAATTATTCATCAAACAATATAAGCAGTAAAGGTGATCTTTTCCATGTAATTATACTTACCAATCAAGGCTGTCAGTAAGAGAAAAACCTTCAACATATTGACGCCTGTTTTACTGAATAGGATGCCGATCCGCCATCAATTAACCACTCCGCCCCACAACACCTAGCTTCGACTTTGATCAGCCTCTATTATCTCGCTTGTGATACCTTCCGAATTTCGATATTGTACTCTGTCGCTAAACATACAAGCTTACATCGTTCGTCATATTCTACAATCTTTCAATATAAACAAATAATGTCACAAATTTACATGAATATACTTTCCCATGTATATCAGCAGTTCAAATTGGAATATCGAGTTACCTGGATTATTTTAATATCACAGTTTAACAGAGAACTGTGAATATATAAGGGACATAATATAGAACAGGTAAAGAAAACAATGCTTTATGATCGTATTGTAAAGTTTATCTCATATATATACAAGCTAGTGGTAGCTGCGTTCTACCTCCGTATCAGTGTCACGTGACGCCTGATCACAATAACACAATGTCGCACACTGATAAAGATAATGTCACTGGGTGATACGACAACGTTATATGAATATAGTTATATTTATGTAAGAGTGCGTTATCGTGTGTGTGCTCGAACACTTGTGTATCACAATGTTACAAAGCAATTCAATGCTATATCAATTGCGAATTTTAATCAATCAATGTTAAAAAATACGTTGCATAATTGTACTATTAATAAATAATTAAATAAATAGCAAAACTAAACTGTTATAGCGTTGACACAGAGACAATATTGGCTCACAGACTCAACATTAGGAATCTAGGGTACACTAAAATTAACGTAAATACGTCATTAACCTGGCCCTTCGGAAGTGTAAGGGTTCTCTACAACTCTTATCAAACTATGATAAATGAATTAATAAATAAACGAGTCAATTTATCACACAGTTTTCGTTTAATATACAACGCATAAACAATACATAAACTGTTATATCCGCTCAAGTTGACATTTAGATATAGCGTTGGCACTTGGTCAGACTTAGTTCAGTTCAGTGGCCGGAAGTTGATGGGTTGTAGTCTTTATATTTTGAAAGTGCAAGTACGTAATGTGATGTTCATTTATTGGTTGAGTCCTAACGGCCCTTAACGGCAAATATATCGTACGGGGTCAAACAAGAAAAATGCTTACTTATAATGTTCTGGAATATACCATCGGTGTACGAAATGAGTGATTGAAAACATAAATAATTCCTATCGCCTGTGAAGCCCGGCATGCAGTGATTTGGTTTAAGTACTGTTTAACAACACAAGACATTTCAAAAGAATAATGTCCTCTGCACAATCACGTTTATGTTGAGATCACACTCAGTGTGTACCGTACAACTACACCATACGATAAAAATCATTTATAACAATGATAGATTTATTGAGTGTCCTCTCAATGCTGCTGATATACCGCCATATTTACAATAAAACAGACAGTCGTGTTACATACATTATAATAATCATAGGTGTGATGTGCACTTTTATAAACATTCACCTAACAGTGCAGTTATCACCTATGGTCGAGAAACAACCATTCTTATATATTGTACTACTGATTTATATTAACTTATTCTGATGAACCATATATTGAATAAAGCGGCATGATATAGGTGCTATAATCAAGACAGGGTATTCCGTCTTTGCGTATTGCAGAGTTATCTTCTCTTGGGAGCAGGTATTGATTGTTACGTCACTTGTTTGTGAGAATAACGTCATCAGTTTTTGAGAAAATGACGTAATTTTCTCACACAAATCAATGACGTAACAATCAATCCCTGCTCCCAAGAGAGGATAACTCTGCAATACGCAAAGACGGAATATCGATTCTTGAAGAGCTCTTAGTCCTAACTCCTGTTTTAAATAGATGTTCATGATGTCGTTACGTTTGCCATGGTATCTCCGCTATCTCTGCTGGGTTTTTGTTTTTTGTTTTTTTGTTATTTTACTTTAATCTCGAAATCTCAATTTCAATTCCATCATATGTTATGGACAAAAGAAGTCAGCAGGATTGGACATCGGGCATTTACGATATAAGTTATCTCCCTACAGCAACACCTCGTTGTGAACATGCTATTTACATATTTAAGACATGTACATTTTAGACACGTAAATGGGAAGTAACTCCTCCAAAGTAGATTATATAATAGTGATGTGAGACTATTAATAACAAGTTTACAAAAACTATTTTACTTAATTTAGATATAGGTACACTTTGTTATATACCATGAAAACATTTACATCATATATGTTTGATATAATTGACTTTCACTCCCCAAAAAATATGTACAGGCCATAGAGTCCATATGTCATATATTGGCCACAAACTAATGAAGTTTAAAAGCCATTTCCAGGAAATATATATTTAGTTTTAAAATCTCGAAATAATGTATATAAGATGTTAATGTATCAGTATGTTGACGCTGTGGTATATTAATATATCTTCACTTCAAGTGAAGTGAAACATATTGTATTGTTACTGGTTTTTCTTCCAATACCTCCTTTTTGCGCCTTCACCGGGACTTAATTCCGCTTATTGTATACAATCTTAATGGGTCGAAACGTTAAAACCATTAAAGACATCTCAATATTTTTTTGATGTTTACCTTCATTATCAGCAGGATGTGTACTGGACAATGTAATTTGGTTATTGTGATCCTAAGCTGTGCATCTGTATTATCCACAATTGTTGTGAAATAGACTGTAATAATTATTCACAGTGACCTTCTCTCTAGGTCAGAGGTAAAATAAGCACCAATCAAATGAACAATTTGGCTATTTATTTGTATTACTTTATCAGAGTCACTGGAAATCGTGGGAACTGCTTGTTTAATAGCAATGATCAACCAACACAAGATCGTCCGTTTTTGCATCAAAATCAGACCCAGTGTACCCATTGGAGTTGATACATGAACGCTGACCTCCTATTTTTGTTATAGATAGGCCACGATGCAATAACTGTCCGCATTATTTACATACTTTCAGAACCAAATATGTCTGCTTAACCATTAAGATTCGTGAATAATATATGTTCTATAATATAATTTCCCAGCAGTACACGACTTCCGTTACATTTTTCTTTTTTTTTTAAAACAGGACTTTATAATGATTTTGTCAACAAATTATATCAATTATTCTTTCCAGAGTTTTTTTATTTCGATCGAAGTGAGAACCTCCAAAAAACCTATGAGAATATATATATATATATGTGTGTGTGTGTGTGTGTGTACTGTGCAGTGTTTCACTTTATAGCAGCCAGGTATCAAAACACGAAACATGAACATAAATACTGCACCGGATGACCCCTGGCTGTGTGATAAATCTAGTGATGTAATGTCAGATTTCGGTAAAAGGAAATGCTTGATAACAAAATTAGGAAATTCTTCTGTTACTCACGAACGTAGTTTAGAAAACTTCAAAGGCAACGATGCTGAAAGGACTGCTACATCTTATCAGATAATTTGTTTTATGTTATTCACTACCTTAAAATTAAGGAAACATAAATAATTCTTGTACGTGTATTAAAATATTTATAGATTCCGTTATACAAAGCATGGTTATCTTTACCACATAGACAAAACCATCAGTTGTACCTTTTACGGACGTAACTAACGCTCAACATTTGCAATCTTTGCAATAGCTTCTTCAAGCTAACAGTGCTTTCATCTTGCAGAGACCGGGAATTCTAATCTGTGATTTAAAGGCGCTGAATTACCATGAGTATACACAGAACCGCTCATCCAGAAGTAAAAAGGCTTTTATAACCGCGCTAGTTAGTCAACGGAACAAGTTTAGTCATCCGCATTGAAGGTGATGTGGAGAGTACATGAGGAAATCAAAGTATGATAGAAGATTCCAGTAGTATTTGTCGTTTGTGATTTAAAAAGTCTTAATAGTCATGTTAATTCAAAGATTATTGTATACGATGGTTTATGATATAAAGTTGCGCATGGTGTTGAACAAAATTCCCATGCAGTTTAATCTTATTTAAGAATCATGTTAAGGAAATTAAAATACATATTTCATTTCTTAACATCTTGTTATGTGTATTATCGAAAAAGACATGCTTCGGAAGTTATTATTAAATTTGTGTATCACATGATGCGTATCAAATTGAAATGAATATATTTCCACATTCTGCACTTGAAATGATTCATATTTTATGTTTAAATAGTTTGGCATGGGTGTTTGAATAAGAGAATGAGCATATCATGATTGGGTTTAGTAACTTCAATTAAATCAATAATTTCGCACAAATTGAAAATAACATTAGCAGAAAAACGTATTTTTTTCACAATCATTAAGCAAATTGATGGATGAATGTCTTCAGGTTTGAGAAATTAGAATTGACTGGAGGGTCCAAACCCTACAACCCTCTGTAATGTACTGTGGAATAACAAAGAAAATGATAAGATAAAGAATAATTTGATCAGAATACTTTCGTTTGATTTCAATTGTTACATTATACATGTTAAGATTGATAGAGAAGTGTCCTAATAACAATCTTGTGACAAACACAGTGCAACTAACTAACAATAACATAAGTACTGCAGATCCCCTAATTTTCGTACATTTTATTGTATTTCTGACGACTGCACTTCAAATAACTTTGTCGGGATTAGCAGATGGAACAGGTATACACTCTTTTCAAGTATCAGAGGTCAGAGTTTTTTAACAGAACTTCCACTAGTATTTGGACCTTGGACTACAAATTATTTGATAATCTAGTATACTGTACTATTGGAGTTAAAAGGAAAAGCCCTAAGTAGATCAAGAAACACGTGATCAGATCGTCCACCACTGTTACATACTAAAGTCTCACCTCCAACATGAATGCGACACCATAACCAAATCTTAAAACATGTAAACGATATACTGTAAATATTGTGCGCGTTCGTACCAAAATATGTGAATACTGCAACAGGCCTGGAAATATTTAAAACGACCACCTAGAGAGCGGGCGTAAACCGTTCGACGTAATTTAATCCTTATATCACTGAGCTCCTAATCTTTAGTTTACTATTTTTGTTAATGGGGTGTTCGGAAATCCGAATTTCCTGTAATCACGAATACGCTACAGAAATAGCAGTTGTTATTGGCTATGGTTTGTTAAATCACGAGCATCAGAATTTACGTCATTCCCTCCAACTGATCAAACCGACAATTGCCTTATTGATACATTCGTTTGACAAGGCAATTTATTTCAGGAGCAATGATCCTATATCTTATAAATTATCTAAGATATGTTTTGCACAATGACATAGGATACTGTATATATATATAATATTTCTTATGTCATCTATGATACATTATACAGCATATAAGATCCATCATTTTATGATATATGAACATCTCTCTATATATTTTATAATGATAGAATACCATATCTGACTCCGATTTTCACTTCTTTTTTTTTGTATAAATTATATCAGATATATTATAGAGCATTTTTTTTTATCTCTTGCTTAGTATATAGGATATCATTTAAGTTGTTTTATGAAATATCTTATATAATATATAAGATACCTTATATAATTGAACGGGATGACAAGTTTCTCCTGGGAGCGTCATTCCATTGTGGTTTGTGAAAACTTGGAGTGATTTTTGAGTGTTTGATACAACACACAACCAAAAATACATGCAATTCTGTCCAACTTCAGTGCATTGTCTGATTTTATCGAATAGGTTATCCCTTTGTTACAGTTTGTCATGAATTGATAGATTGGTTCCCAATGATTCTCACGGGTGCAGTTACTACATTAGTGCTCGTTTTTAATGCCGTAATTTCACGTTTTGTATTAGATATATTGTGTAAGAAATAAGAAATTCAATTAATATGTTATAGTATATGGAATATATGGTTGATACTGCATATGTACAACCCATATAATGTCTATATCTTGTGGCAGTTTTTATGAGATTTCATATATTATATGCGATATCACATACTTCATAAAATAATTTTGTACTATCTAAGTTCAATTCAAATCAAAACATGTTATTAATAGTATATTAGAATTATGATAATACAGATAAACAGCAAATAAAAAATAAAAAAAACAATACATGCATTATGAACAGGATGAGACAACAGACTGATCCTATATCAGTCTTTTCTTATCCGATTTCTCTCATATATATTATACGATATATCATATACGTTAAACATACTTATTTTGATAATCCTTCCGATAAAATGTCTGATAAAATAATTGTTTTTTATATGAGGACATGCATATTTGTTTCATTTCTGTAAAAAAAAAAATCACCTTTAACAAAATGTTCACAAAATATGTTATTAAGATTATGTGAAATCAATACAACTTGTTCCAGATCTCATTGAGAAAACGTCAAATGTGTAGTAGTATAAAGTGAAGATCATATGTGTATAACTCTAGTGATATGTACCCTTATTGTTTCATGTTTGAGCAATGGCACGTATATAGATGTGTAAGTGGTTTAAACACACAATTACAACAAACGTCAACAAGCATAATTATCTTGTAATTGGTGTGCCCGGATGAAGAAAAATTTCCATTCAACAGATCGAGCTCCAATTGGCTGACAGTCCCACAACAGGAAGCTGCGGTTATCGGCGGAAGTGACAGGCACGCGAATTTTGATCTTTGAACTTTAAGTATAAAGACATGTGTTGGTGGCCCTTTTAGGTATTGTATAATTATCTAGTCGATATTTAACAAGTGATATATTTAAGTCTAAGTTGTTACACAGAAACACGTGAACAGTACAGGGAATCAAGCGTAAAAGTAAGTAATGGAATGTAACAAATTCATGTTCGAGATTTAAGGTAGATTTGTAAATATATAGTAACTACGATTATCCTTTTTAAATAATTGTTTTTATATTTCCAAAGGTATATTACATTAAAAAATATTAACTTGGTGTTAAATAAAATATGCAGGTAAACTAATGGCTTCATTTCTTTGTGAAACATACGTTCATGGAGCTTGCTTATTCATGCATCCATGTAAAACAGAATACTGACGCCCATTTCAATGAAGTTGCATTCATCAGCAACATTTAAAATAACTTGTTAAGTTTGAAATGTTTTTACTTGCCATGACTTTATACACTGAAATGTTATTTAAACACTTGTCGTTATAACAACATTGTTTTTTGTCTTTACTTTTCAGAAACAAATGAATTCTGGGAATTTGATACTCGAGTTTGTTGTTGGATTCCTCCTGGTAACATCAGCGCTCTCAACACCCATTTTCAAAGATTCCGAAGCGCAATACCAGTTGCCACCTAACTTCCCAAAAGAAATATCAAGGATAGACTATGAGAATAGTAAGATATTTTCACCTTCATCTTTGATTGAAAGTCGATCAATCACAGACGTGGAGACACACCAGGAGTCAGCCATACGCACCCCCATTGCGTATACTTATACTGATGTTAATGCAGATATGACGCAATCGGATAATTCTTATCCGGATGAAAGATCTTCGTTTCCTTCCCTACGAATGAGGGGGTCGGCATCTATGCATTTCCGTTTCTGGAAAAGTCTATCAAAAACGGCAATACCTACTGTTGAATTTCTAGGAAATGCTCTGGAGCATCTTGTATCAAACTATGTAAGTAGTTAAATAGTTACTTGAATAAATGAGTATAATGTAAAATAATATGTTATGCAGTTTTATCACATAATGTACTGTGTTATCCAGTTAACCTTTAGCGTATTAACCCATGTAATATGACCTATCAGCCCTGTGATTGGTTGACAGTTTCAATTGTTTCAATTGTGACGTCACGCCTAGGACAAGTACTAACGTCATAGATTTACGCATTGGCAGCTTTTTACATTTCAAGGTTGCATGGAAATTGTCGTTTTACACGAATAAGTGCAACACATCTTGATTATGTGATCAAAATGATCTTACACTCGATTTCATTCCAGAGGCTCGCTAAAGTGAAAAATTCTTAGACCCGTTTCATAAATCTCATATGAAATGGAAAGTCATGTAAGATCCTATATATATCAAATATGGTTTGACTTGTCTGTCATTAATATTCGTTGCAATGTATATGAATCATTTTTCATTATAATACAGAAGCAATGAGACTCGTAATACAATGATAAAGAAAGACTGTCATAGAATTTCAACTAATGTTATACGGTTGCATTTATTATAATTATGACATGTAAACAAAGACAAACCTTACCTCTATGTTTCAGTGTCAGGATAATCAAGACGTCATACCTGATGATTGTTTAGACTTCTCGTTTAACCTCATCAATAACTGGAATGTTCGAGACTTTATCAGATCACCGTCAGACGAAGTCATGATGATCAAGAGGCAGAAAAAATTCGACAAGGTATATTGAAATACATTTTGTTCTTTTAAATGCAATTAAATAACATTTGAAATTTCAGAACGATTTACAGATTAGAAAAAGACATTATCAAATATAAGGCACACAATGAACAGTAAGCAACGTGTAAAAGCGGGATAGTAATAAAATATTTAAAATTAATTATAAGTAGCCTAGTGCTTCATGTCCGGTTTAATCAATTACACGTGTGAGCACATATGATACCACACTGTTCAGTTTCATTTTCATTTTTATTCATTCTTAGAATTATTTTGCGGGTAGGAATATAATTTCTAACTTGAGCAAGTCTTTATTTGTTGTGTCTCTTCGGTAGACTGCGTGCGGGGAATTTCTGTAACCATATACATAGCTTGTGTACATTTCATGTTATAGAAATTACTTGTTGACGTCATACAAGTGCTTCGTTACAATCAGAGAAACCTGACTGACCTCCTAGCCATTGAAAAACGACATATTTGTGGAAACGAGGTCGCTTGTGACGTCACCTGTGATGAAGGGTCCTCCCTATACTGTACCCTGAATACTGTTATTGTTCCTAACCTGGACGAGCTCATCCTTGGACTGGAAAAGCAGGTGGGGCCTTTACGAGAAGTGAATGGGCGAATTAATACTAATAAAAACATTAGGATATATAGCGCAGACATACACGTTAGATTGGTCGGCTGTGGTTTTGTATGCTACATGTAAGCTCACTTAGGCGCTGATCAAAGGTTACATATGATGGCAATAAGTTATTACAAAACTGTGACTGTCTATTCCATATTTTGCGTGGATTGTTATTTGTTTATATTATTTAAAAAATTGCATTACGTATTAAAATGCTATGTACTATCAGTTAAATGTAGTTAACGACTTATTCTTAAGTAAATGAAAGTGAATGCACGTTAGGTAATGTATTAGTTGTAGTGACGATATTTTTTTTAATTTTAAATTGGATTGATTTTAATTGGATTCTGAATATAATTTTTAAATTTCAAAACATTTTCTTTAATTTTCAATAAAAAAGTAAGAAAATGGTTATTAATATTGCAATGAAAAGGATCAATTTAGCATTTTTAATTATTTATTTATTGTTTCTTTTTTATTTACAGGCAAAAATGTACTTTGGGGCGAGGATAAGTCGACAGACACCACAACGGATGAGTCCCGAAAAGTTTAAGTTTTATTCAAAATACCGAGTATTTTTTGTACTCGGCACTATTTATAACATGATGCTACAAATGTTCGAAACAGAGGCAGCCCTCACGTACATACTAGACCTTTCAAAAATAGAACGTCTCAAAGCACGATAACGATGTGATACGTCAATTCATCATACAGCGGCGAAGATACCGTACTGATGGCTTGTGGAATACAAAGGAGCAACGACTCTGCACTGGTATTTGTTTATTTACTATGTGGTGTTTAAAAAAATAGTATTTTCATCATGTTTTTATAACTTTTCTGATGACCGCTGTAGTGTTTCCTTTGCCAAGATCATAATATTATTCGCTGCAGTACAACAAACAGGAATGACGTTAAACGTAAACAATAGTGACGTATAATAGCCGGACCAGTCACTATAGTAACACCATTACAAAGAGCATGCATGACTGCACATTGTCTTCTACCTGTCTCAACAGTTTGAACAAAACAACTCATAGGTCAATGATTTGGACCCTGCTTATATTCGTTAAAACAAAACTGTATTTATAACAAGAAATTGATGACTTATAATGTTAAGTTAACTTTTCCCAAAAACGTTTATGTATGATCTTTACTTCATATTAAAAAGCAATCTTGCTTATGATACTAGCTATAGTCAAAGAGATCTTAAATCTACACACTATTAGCAGTACGGTTTCCCATAACCTTCAAATAATATTTCGATTTTAGATTTTTGATGAGTTTCATAAATGAAAGTGCTTTAGAAAAAAAATCATTTTTTTGAAGACTTCCTCTAGGTGAATAATGGGTTTTTTTAATTATTAATTACATAACAATGTTTCTATCAATTTTTATGTTAGTAACGAATGGGAAAGTGACACTATACACAGCCAATAATTTTACTCGAAACTTAATAGCGATTAGAATCCCTCATGAATTATGCAAAAAACCTATGTAAAGACTAAAATCATGTACCTTTTGTTGTTTTTAATTTATTAGTATTTTGTAAATATATTTTACCATGTGCTTATTTTTTTTATCACGTTTATTAAAACTTGTACAAAACATTTTGTGTTATTTCCATGTTGCTTTTGCACATGAATTTGTTTGATACATATTTGTTTTTATTTCTCAGGTTATATCTATATCATCACAAGGGACTTTTGTCCTGCAATTGTGAAAATATTAATTTATAAATTATTTATTTGTGTTTTGTTTACATGATTGCAATGTGTTGATTTCAGTACCTACATGAATATATAGATTTTTGTTTCTGCATTACGTTCCATAGAATTTCCCTCAAACACAGATAGTCCTTGGCCTAAGTGAATTCAAATTACTGTAAAAAAACGAGTTGGAGCGCTAATACTTTCGCGTTTCGACAAGAAGTTTCAAGTGAAACGAATAATGATTTAGCGCTACAGTTTTCTAAATCCTGCCACAATTCAACTTGATTTAATTTTTAGCAGTTATAATTAGTTAGCACATTCGATTTTGCTCAAAAAGCGGTAAAATATTAGTATCTCCAAAATAACTTAACCTAAAGTATGTAATTGTTTGTGTGTTTAGGTCACGACGCTAATTCTATTTTGGAATTCCATCATTTTGAAATTAAACCTGTTGCATGTTTGATGGATTTAAAATGTATTCAAATAAAAATAGTATATATATTTGTATTTGTTTTGTTGAAATATACATAATAATTGATAAAAATATATCGTTTGAGACATTGTCGGCAACCTTACATTTTTATATTATTAAACTAAGTCTCACTTAAACTAAAATAGTCCCCCTTGCTTTTTATTGAACTATTATTACACGAGTTTTGTGTTCTAGCTTTATGTACATGTACGTATACTTAATGCATTGATATAAACACAGCGAATGTGCAACAGCTGTATTGTATTTGTTTTCTTACGCAACCGAATACTTGCCATTTGAATGAATGATGTGTTATTTTCCATATGTTCATTTATGAATTTGTAAACTTGATATGTGAATTAAATGTTTAAAAACTTACAATTGAGTTATTGTATTTTGTACTATTTCTATGAGAACCTGCTTTTTATTTTACTTTTTGCCTAGTCTATTATCTGTCTTCTGTTGGTCCACAATGCGGTACTTGAGGTATTGTCTTTTCTTAACCTTAACAATTTCTACCCTTATGTTTCTCCATGACCGAAGTGCTATGGTCGAGATCCTATCACGCATGAGTGAAAGTTAATTAGTACAAAATGTTTCACGTGAAAACAAGTTTAATATAAAATAACGTAAATCCAACATCTATAATACACACCATAACTACTGTTATGGTAGCAACATATATATTTTATGTAAATGGCAAAAGAGTTTTTAAGAACATTTTTTACAAAGTCAGCCCTTTTCTTGTGATATGATAGGAATGTTAAATTATGAGTCTGCTCAAAAAGCACACTTTTAATGCAACCTTGTTAGGATATGACAAAAACTCATATATTTTTTTGTTTTTTTCTTATGACATCCGGTCATAGATTTAATAAAAAAACAAACATCCTGGGGTTAATGACATGCCACTCTAGCCCTACACACATTTTGTTTGGTCATATAATAGAATCTTGTACGTCAACAAAAAACAGCATAAAACTAGTTTAGTATGATATTGTTAATGTACATTCACGAAGAAAGGTATTTTGTATCTTATGGTCGTACGTTCAAATAAAATATTGATAACCCTGACATTAGGAATTGCAGACATTTCCATTGACACTTCTACTTATGATAAGAAACAAAAGTTGGTTCATTTAATTTCGTCGCTTGAAATACCTAGTGCAATTTTGCTTTGTTTGACGTGAGTTTTGTCAAGATTAATTGTCAGTCATCGTCCTTTAAACATGCTATGTACGATATGATAAAAGACATTGGCCCGTATTCATGAAACCAGTTTCATGCTCAAGCATGGATTTTGTGATCAAATGACATCTTATATTGTCGATGATTTGGAAACAAAATTAAGAGACTTAAAGCCAAATCTTTTGACTTTTTGATCCTGTGACATGATTTAAGTAAGCTACAAGAAAGTTCGTTTAAGCACATAATTATTTCTTGAGGAGCATGATAACGGTCTCATGAACACGGGCCCTATTCACAGAGCCTTAGATCCTCATCACCATAATTCCCTAAATTATTTGACAATACACAATATGTTGAATGTCATAAAGAAAAATTATCATTCCTGAACATCTCATTTAAATATATTTTATTTGTAAAATACAAATGGGATAAGACACAGGTTAAAACAACTTAAAATTCGTCCTCTTCCTTGCTGTTCTGCCATGAATTTAGGGGATACATGTTGTGTTTTTTTGCGGTTAAATATCCTATTAAATTGCTTTATTTTAGTTTTGAACACCCAGGTGTATTGGGTTTGAAGATTTTAAGTCTTTCAGCGATGATTTGCAGATACTTATTAGTATGCAAAGCAGAATTCTGGATTAATCTTTTACAGACCTCTAGATAAAGTATTAAAGTAGTACTATACGCATGGTGTATGTCATGGATTCTCTTGGTGTCGAAATCTCGATTCATGTTCAAATAAGGAGAAATTGATAAAATAAGTAAAGCAATATCACAACTGTACTTTTCAACTTGTATATGTATTTACAGACACAAACAGGAAAGTATTCGTCAAATGCCCTGGGTATCTACTTTTATTATTTCTTTTTATCAAAAACAATATTGTCATTTATCTTTTGCTTTCCATTTTCATAGTTAATTTTCAAAGTTGTAGATAAATTGATCTTGAAAGAATTATCGAATGGATTAATAAAACAATTATTACCTCCAGCCGGCTTATTATGTACAATTTATAGCTCTATGATACAGGTGTTTGGGGAAACATTTGATTCTATTGTCACACTATATGTAGAGGAGTTGTAACCAGTGATTACTTTTCGTGAGTAACTTCTTCTCAGGTTTAATCTAAGAGTTCCTATATAACTTGATAACATTATGGATGTTTTGTGGCTCCAATAACACGCGCAAGAATGCTTGTTATACAAAGTGAATTAACTAAGGCCTATAACAAAAGCCAGTAGCGGTTACGGGATACACATATACATTCACATGTACAATGATTTGCATATTTTTCTGCATTCATCAATTAATCTGTTCTTTCCGTGAAGCTCCTGAACACAATTTATTTAATACCACAACTAAGCGTACTTTTCTAATATAATCAAATTAATTGTACTGGTGTGAGAGTGATACATTAACATATTATCGCATATCACTGTCGCCGGTTGTGTCTCTTATTTAGATATATATATATATCTTGTATCGCATAATAGCATAATCATTCCAATGCGTTGTAACAACAGCTGTTTGTTAGCGTGATCGCTAATTAAATCTTGCAAGTAATATGATAAGTTTATTTATAGTATACAAACAGTATATCATTGGGTGTTGTATTAGGTGATTGTTGTACACAATCCAATGTTCGACACACAAACTCGCGTGTATTGTATGTGTCATGTGTTATGAATATCTCTACTTAACTTATGTATTAAACCTATACGGTCCTTCCGGACAGGTAACCTGGGTATTCTAAATCACTTAAATTCTCTATTACTAAGTTCAGCCTCTCTTTACGTGAACAATCATTGAGGTTTTAATTGTCAGTATATATTTTAATGACAACACAGCATTACGAACCTAATAGACAAAACACACAAACCATCTTATGAACAATTACTTTAATGTTTTTCATCTGAATTAAAATAAAGCATCGTTCAGTTAATATCCATCTATTCGTCATTATTGTCAAAGTATGGAATTTTGTCATTTAATCACATGTTGCTACTTATTGTATAAGTATATAAATAACTACAATAGGTATAACATTAAGTTATAAAGTTTCTTCATTACGTATAAAACAGGTGCATTTTAAATGCCTGCTGTAATTATATAAATAGCATTTAGCACAGGTAATAAATTTGTGTATCGAGAGGTATGGAAATGTTTCCGTTATCTACATCATTCCTTCCGCTATTCTGCCATAATGTCCAGCATAATAGTCTCCCACCGGATTATCAGCCGCCATGGCCGTGCCTTGACGTCCACTACTAGACAGCGATAAACCTGTGGATCCTCCAGAACTCCTTAAAAAAATAATCATAGAAAATTATTAACAGAATACTAGGTACCTACATCATTTCCAATTATTACAAGATTTCTTGTACATTCCTCACGACTCGATATGAAATATCATGATTGCATTGGATTTGAATAACTTTTCGTTTCATATGAGTTTTATGTAACTCGTCCTTTTGTTTTCACTAAAGCCTTGTTTAAATGTATCCGCCAATACCAATTAAATTAAACTCATCAATCTTAAATGAAATTGCAATTTCTTTGCAATTAAAAATATATATAATGAATGGCCGATCCAGGCGTTAGTCACTGTTGCATTCATGATTATTTTGCTTTACTTACCGGGCCATATAGCCGCTAAGTCCACCCATTTCGACATCAGACTGCATTGCTTGCTGCCGTTCCTTCATCATTTTTCTCTCCCTAGCAGCATTAACTGTCTGCGATATGAAGCCTGGTAGCCATTGCAGCATAGGGTTACTGGTCAAGTTGGCCATGACGCCCTTTGGGATGAACTTGCTAAAGAAGTCCGAGGTGGACCCTTTACCAATATGACCTAAAACGGAAATCGGTAATATTGAAATAGGAAACGATAGTTTCATCCTCGAAAAACAAAACAAGAATTAAAACATCTATCTAGCTAACAAACAAACAAACAACATTAACAAGCTATAATTATATCACAAATTATGTCTATATTGGGTGAACTACGTTCTTAGATCCTATGATTGTTATAACCTTGTTCCAGTATGCAAAAGGATTGCAGTACATTCAAGTGAATAGTATTGGTTGAAAATGCCGTTCACTGAATACGACTATTGTTCCTCTCACCATGACTTAATATTATTATGAACTAAAGTTGATCGCAAGATTCCAAGCTCCGTCCAAACATTTTACAGAATGTCAACAAGATAACTATGAGTATAAACATACAAGTACCATACATTTACATTTAGGCCAATGTTTCTTACGAAAATAAGTGTTAATCATTCATTAGGAAAACTATATACGTTTAAACCTAATTCTTTATTCGGAAGAACGATAACTTAACAGATACAAACAAGATTTTATTTAGTTAAATTGTTTTCTTTTCCTAATACACATTTTACCAAATAGCATCCAATGGGCGTAGAGTTTTCAATGTGCAAAACATAGGCACATCAAATAAAATGTCGTAATATACTTATTAAATTATTCGTACAATTACGTACCTTCTCAAACATTATCTCTTGCGTTTTGTTAAATAAAGTAAAGTAGACTTTAATTGATATTTAGTTGAAAAATAAATAAATAAATAAAAATAAAAACAAATAAAGCAAAAACAAACAAGCATAAACTTAAAACACAATTTACCTTCGAAACCTCCCATTGGTAAGGCCGATGCTAACGCTACCACACTCAAAACACAAAGTAACCTGGTGAACATTTTTCCAGATACGTCCAATGCACACTGCAAAAAAGGTTTATACTGCATTGATAACAAGTGTCCAAGATACCGCTGTTTTATAGCTGTCGCCTTCGTTACTGCAGTAAATGTTACTAGCTCTGACTGCCAACAAATACAGATTCTTCTTGCAGATATTTACAATAACTTGTTGTCCATGTGACTTCTTTTTAACGTCGATTCAAAGAGAGAAGATAGAGTTCAACTTGTCATGAGATTTATACACTCAGCATGTTTTGCAAGGTGATAATTAATTTTGCTTGTATTTTTAAAACATGCGTGCATGTTCAGGCGACAGTTCTCGTCAAAGTGTGCACATGTTCTATGTTAACAAATCTTGATGACGTTCCCACCAAATTAGGACATTAAACTCCAGTTAAATTGGAATCCGTTCAATAATCGAATTGTGTTCAAAAAATAAATGCTCCATTAAGTTATAACGTGAAATGCTGAACACAATATCTAGTGACTGTATAAATGCCACGCGTCCAAGACTATATCCAATGTCAGAATGTTTATCAGACTAGTTGTACATCAACCGATATCACACATATAGGCCTGTCATCGCCCACGCAAATCTACTGAAGAACGATTGACAGCTTTTCCCAATTAATCTGTCTTCATGTCGCATTTTGGTCTGAGGTCAGCGATAAATATGTCATTTGGTCGTGTGTAGGGGGACGTGAATGACGATGTGGTTTAGCATAACATAATTTACTCTTACCATATGTGTCGATAATTATTTCAAAACTTTTTTTCGCTAATGTAGGATTTTTCATGTATTACGCTCACACTTAATCCTGCAGTCCCGATCGGAACATAATTTCAAAGATAAAAGTGACCAGATATCGCATTGACACAGCAGAATATTTAACATTGCTATTTCACTGTTGTAAGATATTTCACTGGATTCCATTTATCTACAAACCCGTCGTTTTAAAGGTACGTTCAGCAAATTGCGTTTCTGAGTTATTACCATTAGAAGACCACTGCGACAATATGTCGTAAACCTAAATTTTATATTATACAAACAATCAGACAAAACATTTGTTGTATTATTTAACTAGTATATATATATTCTGCATATATCTGTAATATATCCCGATAGTGATATAAAGTTATAACAAAATTAAATATGTTTCTCTTTCCAGTTTAGTTGGTGATTACTTACACAAACAAATACATCTGTCTGTTATTTTCTTTCTAACTTGATTATATATTAATACACAGTAGGATTAAAATATAATTACCAGAATTTCTGCACATGTTGCCACTTAACAAAGACTATAGATAAATAATATTGCATGTAACTAAACGAATCCAACAGATACCAATTGTTACGTATATAGTGATATTTATTTGTGTACACCTGCCTTACATACATTTGTATACCTTATATTGTTCAATATTAATGTCAGCTGTCCGGATGACAACACATAGGTGTGATGATGTAGGAGGGAGCCGACATACCCGGAGAACACCTGATCCTTCTTTATGTCCGATCCGGAAATCGAACCCCGATTTTCTTGATGGAAAATAATTGCACTTTCTGCTGCCAAATCCGACCATCCTATCTGGCAGTCATTTTGGCTGCCGCAGAACCGGTCACGTTATGTCGTCAATATGAGTTGTCAAGATATTTTAAATGTTGTATATCTAATTATTTCACAAACAACAGTCTGCTAGAAACATTACGTTATGGTGTTACTGATATCTTTCCTAAACTTAGTTGAAATAAACTAACACAAAAACCGCACACTAAATTGAAAATAAATCGAAACACCGTACTATCGACAAATTTGCACGAAACATGTAACGTTACCTCAATATTTAAAAAACGAAATGAAAATGAAAGCTTTACGACAGTTGAACTCACCTGTATCGTCCTTGCAGCCTGATTGCGATATGTAAGATTCAGTTTGAGCTCGCACCTATTTATACGTGTGTTGCTCGAAGTGTAATAAATAGCGGCGTGCACCTGTTAGGGCCATGTGACATTTTCCGTGATGGAAGAGTCCTACTTTTCTCGACAGTGCAGATGCAACAGTTTGACATAATTGGATTAGACAGAATATTTTTCAGTCATGAACGTTCCAAATATTTGGGTTGAACAGAAATGATGGAACTTTTCTGTTATATTTTCTTCCAACTAATGCGGTCAATGTGTTCATTCACATAGTGACATATTATGCTAGAATTTTAGAATGTGCTGTGTAAGCATTATATTTTTATTTCATTATTATATGTATATCATTAGTGTTTTTTATATTTTGCTGTCTTCTCCAATATGCAGCTTAACTTTTGTTTAAAACTTGCTTATTTGAAGGACCTGTCGAGTATATGGCTTTGTTCTTACGATACGACACGGTACGACAACCATAACACAGTAAGTTGCGTTATACAATAGCAAAACCCTCGGGGTTTTTTTGTTGATTAATTAAAATGGGGGGTTTCTGACCACGCTGTGGTTCTAGTTTAGTTAACCCTTCTACTCGAAAATTAAAAACCTGTCGCAAGAGAGTTATATAAATCTGTTTCCTATTTAATCCGCCATCAGTTTCAAAGGTAATTTAATATGTCGGCTGGGTCAAAGGTTAATCGCTCCGTCGCTTTTTAGCACACAGTGCTTTATTTCTCTGTTGATTTTAAAATGGAAATCGTTTTGCCAAAACGTTGAATGTTATTTCAGGTTCGGTTTGATTTAATGGAAAAGTGTGTGCATGTTCATATCTTAACTTTTTCAAAAACGTACATTTAAACTTACATAACATTCCATTTTTATATTCGCTTTCACAAATCCTCGCTCATAGCAAAATCGTGTCTGAATCCAATGGCAACGATATTTCTAAACATTTTCTTCAGGTTGGTAAGTTTAGATTATAAAACGTTCTAGTTACACAACCAATAACATAATCTATGTGACGTTTCGAACACTAGAACGATATGTACACTGTCACCTTCATCAGACAAATGACCAGTGAAGCGTATGCACACAAAGGTGTAAAATGAGTACGAGTTGTCCATGAAATCGATTCAGATCGAATCAGAAGTTAGGCGTCGTACGCACATTGCTCAACAGATGTGATACAATAGTCACAGAACAACAGGACAAAACACAAGAGCAGAATCACATCGCTAGGGCAATGAGAACATGTGCATATCCGGAACGGGCCCTAAAACGGGTACAAAACAGTGTCAAAGTAAGGAGAAGAACACGAAAAGCCCAATCAAGGATAAGAACAAAACTTGGGTTTCTGTATCTTTCCGGTGTTTACCAAGGCGGACCCCAAAATACGACGCGTTCCGAAAATGCACATGTTCTCATTGCCCTGGCAATGTGATTCTGCTTTTGTGTTTTGTCCTGTTGTTTTGTGACTATTGTATCACATCTGTCGAGCAATGTGCGTACGACGCCTAACTTCTGATTCGATCTAAATTGATTTCGTGGACAACTCGTACACATTTCGCACCTTTGTGTTTATACGCTTCACTGGTCATTTGTCTGATGAAGGTGACAGTGTATCTATCGTACTAGTCATCGAAACGTCACATAGAACATTTTATTGGTTGTGTAAAAAAGAACTTTTCATAATCCAATGGCAACGAACTGTCTCATACAGTTTACGTAGAAAACATTCACAATCTATACAAACATGCATAAACATGGGAATTCTACAAAAATGAATATTGAAATTAGATTCATTACATTTAAGAGGTACAACAATGTGGGACCACTAAAACGATGCTTTCAGAACATGTATCAGAAAAGAAATTAATGAATTGTCAAAATGGTCACTTTGCTTTAAAGATACTTAAAATGCCATGTAAAGCATACACGTTTAAAGTAGAGAAAGCATAATGTCTTTGTCATGAACTGGTATAATATATGGGTTATATAATACTTGATAAGCGTCCTTTTAAATCATTGAGTCTTAAAGATATATTGAAAAATATTGAAATTCAACACTACAATCACATGTGTTTGTATGTAAATACTAGTAAGCAATCGACAAAATAAAAACAATTGGCATGCATGTGGAGATATTGAAAACGTTCAGTTTTAAATCTTTTCTTTAAGTTAGCAATACGTTGCGCAACTTTCTCGGGGGTGACTGAAAACTGGGGGAGCGTTAATTGATGTGCCTAATTAAAACGTGCCTTACTTAAAATGGAACTTGATGAAAAATCTCGGGAGTTTTTTGCTGTAGTTTACGACTTTGGAAAACCAGTGTCAAATTGTAGCTATTATAGCTACATGTTACATGTTGTATAGTGATAAAGGTTATAATCTCAAAAGAGCTATTGAAATCAACTATGTAATTACCGACACCGAAAAGAGAAAAATAATATGTTAACTTTCCAGTACACAAAGAGCCTAGTAAAGATTAAATATTCTCATGCTTTACAATTTTGAGAGCCTTTTTATACCTGATCATAAATATAAATTTATGTATATGTAAAATCTGAAGACAGCTGTCCATCTGCAAATGGTGGTATTTAAACTCTTCTTTATCAAAGTAATGATGATTGTATTGCTAATACTAACATATATTAATGCATTTCCAATACTTGACCAAAATACTTTTTCAGTTGCATTAGCTTCTATAACCCTTATTTGATATGAAATTCTTTATTCTAAATTCATCATATCTAGCTCTGAAAACGAAATAATCAATTCGGTATGAAATATAACCTTCTTGGATATGGACAAGATTATGTTAACAGATTGATTCCAAACCTGATAAGAGTATTGCTCTTAAGAACCTATGTATGTGCTGTTGTGTGGTTGATTTGGGTTGGTATGTAATCTTGAACATTGAAGAGGAAAAGGATGGAGAATTCCTTTGAAAATTCATGCAAATGCTTTGTGCACGAGCAAATGTTTCACATTGTCAGCGAAGATCGGATAAAAATCTTTCACGATTGCCTTACACAGCGCACAAAATGTACCCACTATCAGGGCCAGATCTGGTTTTGCCTTAACAATGTAGCCAAAAATCGCTAGATGAATAGTCATGTATCATGTTACAATAAATAATCGCCTACCACAAGTACTCATTGATATCTTCTATCACACTTACTCATTGACACTTCCTACCAAAATATCCCATTGGCACATTTTACCACAATAACTCATTGACGCTACCTACTACAATAACTCATTGACACTTCCTATCACAATAACACATTGACACTACCTACTACAATAACTCATTGACACTTCCTACAACAATAAATCATCTACACTTCCTATTACAATAACTCATTGACACTTTCTACTATAATAACTCATTAACACTTCCTACTACAATAACTCATTGACACTTCCTACCACAACAACTCATTGACACTTCCTACAACAATAAATCCTCGACACTTCCTACTACAATAACTCATTGACACTTTCTACCACAATAACTCATTGACACTTTCTACTACAATAACTCATTAACACTTCCTACCTCAATAACTCATTGACACTTCCTACCACAACAACTCATTGACACTTCCTACTACAATAACTCATTGACACTTTCTACCTCAATAACTCATCGACACTTCCTACTACAATAACTCATTGACACTTTCTACCTCAATAACTCATCGACACTTCCTACCACAATAACTCATTGACACTTTCTACCTCAATAACTCATTGACACTTCCTACTACAACAACTCATTGACACTTTCTACCTCAATAACTCATTGACACTTTCTACCTCAATAATTCATCGACACTTCCTACTACAATAACTCATTGACACTTTCTACCTCAATAACTCATTGACACTTCCTACCACAATAACTCATTGACACTTCCTACCACAATAACTCATTGACACTTTCTACCTCAATAACTCATTGCCACTTTCTACCACAACAACTTATTGACACTTCCTACTACAATAACTCATTGACACTTTCTACTACAATAACTCATTGACACTTTCTACCACAATAACTCATTGACACTTCCTACTACAATAACTCATTGACACTTCCTACTTCAATAACTCATTGCCACTTTCTACCACAACAACTTATTGACACTTCCTACTACAATAACTCATTGACACTTTCTACCACAATAACACATTGTCACTTGCTACCTCAATAACTCACTGACACTTCCTACCACAATAACTCATTGACGTGACATACTTCAAGACCTCATTCACATCTCCTACAACAAAAGAAACGCATTGCCACTTCCTACCATGAAAACCCATTGCCATCTTCCACACAAGTAGACATGATGTAACAATTAATACATGGCAAATATGTTTCATATTAGGACCATTGAAGAACGGGAGAATAGATTAAATATGATTTTTGATAATTGAGTAATTTCTAAACCTAGTGGCATTATATGTATTTGTCGACGAACAAGAATAGTTCTTTTACTTACCTTATATTAATTCTACCATGTAATTCTCATTATTTAGAAGCAAAAGCATAACTGTTGTGAAGAAAAAACATAGCAAATGTTATTTATATTGACACGTTTGGATATTTTTTTTCTGTTTGCCATTTTTATCCATTGGGAATCACCATATTCATACTTAAAATTATCTTATAAGCCAAATAGGCAACTACGAAATGAGGGATCAAAACATTAAGCATTTTGAGTATCGATTTTGTCCTTTTGTTACAGCTATGGTTATATTTTCCGGAGACTGCGGAAAGCGGTGCATTGATAAATTTATCAATATATATCAACAAAAATATACTATTTTAAATTTCCTCACTTTAAATATTCGAACGCTTTCGAAATGAATTAAACTTATACATTTGCATAGGGCAAAACGGAGAAATACAACATGATCGATATATGTACAGTCAAAACAGAGAGTTATTCCTCTTTACATATGTACTCGATTGTTTACTGTTAGTTACAGT